TTATTTTTATGTTCCAATTCAGTACATAAATTTACTTATCTAACTTTTAATTTTTTTTTCTACTTATTTGTACGTGGTAGAGTCATGCTGCAGCTATATTACTAGTATAGTTGTAGCACGAATGGGTCGGCTCGACCGGGGAGGGACCACGCCCTCACAGAATACCAGCGTAAAATAGCAGCTTAACGCTGCTGTGTTTCGTATGGTGAGTATAGAGAACTGGAGACCCCTTTTTACTGGCAACGAAGCATTCCATCTTAGTCCTCACGGGTGACAACGCATCTGCATTTTGATTCGTAATCGAAGATAGATGTAGACGTCTATGCGCCACAGGAACCACTTACCATCACAGGTGGACTGTGTGTTTGTCACCCTTATTTTATAAAAAAAAATTAAATGCTCTATCTTTTTCAGGGTTTCGGTACTTGTACTATCATCTATTCTGTGGTTTCGGTAATAAATAATAATTAATTTGATTGACGCAGTAGATAATTATTTAACACGGTCATTCCATTATTAGTGGAGGACGTAGAGTGTAAATGGGGTTGATTCGTTACAGCTGCGGGTCGACGTTGTATAACTAAATCTTCTTATTGTGCTCTCGTTGCAATTGTCACGTTATGGCTGTCCCGAGTATAATGTACATGTACAATGTAGGGCTGTCTAAGGCGTAAGAACTTATTATTATGGTCCTATGCTATGGTCGTGTGTTATTGTAAAATATAATAAAAAATTAAAAGACAACATTTAATTATTTATTTTCTTATAGTTAGTAATATAAATCACGACTACATGCTGGGAACAGTCCTTGTTTCATTGCCGAATAGTGAAGAGTTTCAGAATAGCGAAAGTCGCCGCATAAATTTTAATTCATTTTCCTTCAAACATTTTTAAAGTTCAGACTACCGAACACGCGATAAATCGGCGTTAAAAAATTAAGGATGTCTAATTGACTCAGCCTTCATTAACTTACCTATATTTAAATTCGAAAAAAGTTGAAACTCGAACGAATGGTAGCCCTAGAGATGACCTAGGCAATTCGTGAGCTCGCCTATTTATCTATCACACATCACATGGTTGCGTTTAGTGTCACAGGTGTTTGTCATATCAAGCGATAAAAACGCAATTTGGTAAGATCGTAATCGATGATACACTGACGATTTTTATGTGACATAATTGTTACATTATTAATCATACATTTCAAACATTACATTAGTAAAAAATAAGCTGACAATTCAAATGATTTTTAGTGCTTCTAAATTTAAGCAAATACGGCTTTAATAACGTATTTTTACATTGTCACCTCTGAAGAATAAAATAGAATGTCTCTAGAACGATTGTTTAGTTACATACTGACCCTCCATAGTTTTCAGACCGGAACATAACAGAGAATCCACTGCAACTTGGCCGTAGAAATTAGTAACAGATTGGTGCCCAGTGCCCACACAGACGAAATTTTAGGCAAATTAGTCCACCTGGTACGAGTAGCTAGCTATTTTCTACTACTAAGTAAGCTTACGACCAACTACTGAGTAACCTACAAGCGGTTGAAGACAACGAGGAATTATACGTATTTTCACATTTGGCGTTTACTTAAACTTATTTTTAAATTGTTATTTCTATTACAGTCTATAAAAGTCCACTGGCAAACATAGGCCTCTCTCTACCTTAGATTGCCTCATAGCGAAGATTTTGCCTTAGTTGTTACGCCTAGAAGGCAACCGCAGTTTTTCTGCCGACTTCCAAAAAGGAGACGGTACTAAATTCGACTGTATGTTTTTTTATATGTGTGAGTTGTTATTAAGAAGATGCTGCTGCCTATCTCCTGTTTTAGTTTCCCTCTGTTGCCTAATACGACACCCACGGGGCGATAATGGGTAGTGCATATTCTTACACCACCACTACACGGTTTGTAAACTGTTATTTAATCTTTGATAAAAGGTAAAAATAGCAATTAAAAGTCATGAGTAGCTCATAAATAAAGCGCTCGCTTTATAATTGTAAAGTATAAGCGTGCAAAACAAGATCAATCTTCACAGGAACCAATGAAAATATTTTTTTAAATGCAATTTTTGAATTGCAATTTTAGTTATGATTAGTCACGCCTTGGTGGTGAAGGAAAACATTGTGGAGATGACTAAAAATTAAAAAAAAATGTATATTTGTAGACATGTAAACTGCCAGCGCACTGGGGCAGTTGATTTTACATTTCCTTGCTCCAAAAACCCTCTCATAAATGTGAGGGCGCCTGTGCTTAACAGTAGGGCGTAGTACGCGCTATTCTTTCACTTTCTACTTTACTTTAACGAAAACGAATCTAATGAGGTGCATGGTCATGTTGTAAACGCTTCCAAATGCGCTGGGTAATTGGGCTTAGGCTTCAGTAGGACACTAAGGAAGGCTACTTCTGTGCACCCCTATATTATGATATCCTCTTTACTTTTGAACACGAAACATTATCTGAATAAACTGCACAGGAGATAATATAGTGACACAAGTACACATACAAACATAGAGCCACTCGTGACTATTTTATTTTTCTCTAAATATATTTACCCACCAACCAGTAAGATTTTTTTCTTGATAAACAATTTAATGTAGGTCATAAACACCTCATGCGGGATTTAAATCCGTACCTGTATTTGCGGATGCATTGGTAAAAAAATATTGAAAGCAATTTCTTATTTATTTTTACGTAATAAAGGAAAACAATGTAAAACAAATTGAATCTAAATCGCTTAAGTACCTAACAGAGTTTAGTTCATTTGTGTGCAAGTGTGAGAAACCACTCGTTGTAGTCCACAAGTAAACATGAGCCTCTCAAATTTCGTGTAGATAAAATCAAGCAAACTAAGCAGAGTAATTTCTAGTGAAGCCGCGGCGGATCGTACCTTTAGTGGGCTCTATGTTCGCATCCCAGCGAATACTATTATTTAAATAAAAATTTATGACTCTTAGGTCTAGATTTGTAATAGTCCTAACATCTTATACACTGCATTCAAGCCTACCATATGCATAAATCGTCACTGGGACGCTTGGCAATATCCAATATATAGTAATCTATGTTCCAATAACGTAAAAAATGAAATAAACGCTGATTGACGTTGTCAGTCGTGCCAGGAAACTAGGTACCTACTATTACTATCTAAAGAACTCTTCCGTAGTTTTTTAATTGTGATTGCAGTTGTCGTTGTCTAAGTTTTCTTGAGTGAATGGCACGACACTCACAGGGCAAAATTACAAAGGACTTTTATTAAATGACTTTTAAGTTGGAGTATAGGTAATCACAGGCTATCCTAAAGCCCTGTAAGGAATTGTCATTCTTGAATATAAATATTTTTATAAATTTTTACATTACAAATAAATTTAACTTGCTTTACTTATATAATAATATAGGGCTTACACATAGTAGTAATTACCGGTAGTATATTTTGTAAATAAAACCTGCTTGCTCTAAAAACAACAAACTCATATACGTTAACAAAACCAGTCATTATTTTTAATTTATTTAGGAACATTAATAATGAATTTTTAGAAAAAATAAAAATGATGGTTTTTTTTCTTTTTTCGTGTCACATTGCAATATTTTTGGGAGATTTTGGCTGCAGCTAAAGCCAGCAGACAGTCGATGACGTTAGTACCTATCTCAAGTTTACATGGGGCCTAAGAGGACAAAATAACTTTAGGTCAAATCACCATCAGAGCACTTGTTTCATCATTTCTACTAATACTTCACAGCCGTAAACATTTTATATACAAAAACGCATCAAAATTTTTAACTTTTTTTTTTATTCAAAAGAACTATTACAATTTGCCTCGTATCCCACCCTAAGAGACAATATTTGAGGTGGTCTTTTGAACTTAAGTGATCTTTTGATAGGCTGTTATTGTAATAATATTTTTGTGGTACCTTTAAAATCTTGAACGATACTTTGTCCAAATTAGAAATGTGAAGAAATGTACATAGTGATTACAATTTCTTTCCAAATTATATTATAGTCTTTGCCATAAAGGTAACAGAATCTCAAATTTCCGTCACTATCATTTAGGCTGGCCACATACATACGGAATTCCGTTTCGGGATCCCGTATTCGGAATTACGATTCAGGATTCCGAAAGCAGCAAATCCATATAAAATCTATGACCCGTCACACACGTACGGTAGTTTTCGTTCGAAATTTTGCAGACAAAACGGGATTCCGTATGTGTGTGCCGACCCTATACGTAGCCGGCCTTAGCGTCTTTTGGGACAAGCTTTTAATTTTTAACACAAGCATGTTGTGACATATGATTTCTAATTGACTAGCAAACATTCGGCGCAGTTTATTTACTTTAAATAAGTGTTACTTACGTAATTGTATAGTTTTGTTTTAAATACAAAAAATTTACAACGTTCCTCAGCTCGGTGTCAAATAATAATATAACGAAACTTTGTATTTATACATTTGGGATGAAAAATATAAATGTAAAATTTTAACATTATTTCTCTAAATATTTAAAATTAAGTCCTATATCATAATAAGTAATTATATCATGAAATAAATTTCTTAATACAGTATAAGAAAACTGTACTTGAAGTAAACATCTTTAATTTTGTACATGGAAACATGGAATATCTTTTACATTTCATGTTTTCCAAAGTAAGTAATGTTAAGTACCTACCTATTTAAAGTTTCTATGGAGAAAGAAACCTCTTTTGCCTGCCTTGATTAAATGGTTTGGTAACTAGGTATTATCTTATCTTATCCGATTTATCAAATATAAAACAAAACCATGACCGGATTGTACAACATTGGTAAAAAATTACAACAAAAGTTCTGTATTCACAAACATGAATAAATATAGACTGATATTTATTTGACATATTTTTTTAAATAAAAACGCGAATGTTATATCGCTATAGATATAAACACATTGTAAAATATTATATAATAATTTAGTTTCCTTGCATCTTTCATTTTAAAATATATATTAAAGAGAAGTTATTTAATGTTACTTACTTTGACTGAAAACTTCTGTAAGACCGTTAAAATAAAGTTGATCACGTAATTATTCGTTAGATAAAGATAAGCACAATATTTACACTACTATTTCAATACTCATAAAGCAGTTAAATAATAGGAATATATTATTTTTCCCGTTATTTTGATTTCGTAAATAAACGACGCTCACGTCTGCTGTCGCGTGTTTTTGTCAGCGTTGTTGTTTGAATTGTAGATTTTGAACTGTCCGCCTAGTGGAACTAATTTCCTGTTCAGAGTCAGTTCTGAAATTAGGAAGCGACATCTGTTGATGTAATATAAAAATATAAGGGTTAGTGTAACACCAGACATCTATTGTCGAATAGTGAACTAAATTAATGATTAAACATACCATTTATTATCGAACTTCATTATCACAATAATATTATGGAAGTTTGTGCAAGTCAATAATTAATCACAACTTCAATAATATTATTGTGCAGATCTTAATAAAACGTTACAGTCTATCAAAAGTCCATTGCTGAACATAGGCATCTCCCATAAATTGCCTCATAGGATATTCAACATAGTTGCCACACTTGGCATGGAGGCTGGCAATCAAAGTTTTTAATTTTTGGTTGTTATTAGAAAGACGCTGCTGCCCATTTCTTGGTTATTTTTTATTTTATTTTAACGCGAAATTGTGCCGGCGACGTAACTTTGTTCAGTCGTCCAGAACTTTTGTTGATTTTGTTTAAAATACTGAAGGTAATATTTGTGGTTAGGGAATGTACCTAATATTTCGTTTTTAACATTAGCTTGCTACACATAGAAGTTACTCTAAGTTGCTACATATTTATTTATCTATGTTTAACATGTTGGTCTATTTATCAATAAAACTGCCTCGAAAGTTACTATACTAGTGATATCACGATGTGACAATTACTTAGCCATGTTTTGCTACAACCAAGGGTTGTCACTTTCAACCTATATTTTTAACCGCGATTACGGCGATTCAAAGAAAGGATTATATACTTGACATTCTATGCATGTATGTTTGTATAGACGTTTCACCGTAGCATCCTATTAGACCGATTTTACCTAATGAGTTGTCAATTGATTCATCTTTATCAAAAGTGAAGAAAAAGAAAAGAGAAATCTATATTATTTTTAATGGGTATTAATAATAGTATTACTTCTGCGTTTTTGATATTTTTAACTCAGTGTATTGATATTAATTTGCACCCATATAATAGTGTCATTTTTAATGATTATGAACATTTTGCTATTTTGTGGGACACAATATTATATAGGTTGATTACAATTATTTTTCTGGAGACTGGAGGAGGGCCAGTCTTCGTGCCGGATGAAGTCGATTTCACTCGCCGCCAGCCAGTCTTGAGTGCTCTTCGCTCTATGAGCTGGCGCCGAATCTTGTTGGAATACCCAGTGCCTGTTATTGAACATGGTATGAGAAACAGGTTCCACAAGGTTCATCAGGACTGTATTTTGATACATAAATGCATTCGTTTTTACACCTTTCTCACAAAAATGTACCTCTGTTAAGCCCCAATAAGAAACTCCCAACCATACCATGAGCGAGGATGGAAAATGACCAAGTGGGACACGCGGAATACGGTTGCTCGCTTCTTCACTACTGTGGGCGTACACCTTATCATTTTGTTTGTTGTAGCTCTCTTCTACGGTAAATTTTTTTTCATCCGAACAAAGAATTTCCTGATACTTTTTTCCCGCGTACCGCTTCAACAAAGCGCGGCATCTCTTCAGTCTCAGGTCCATTAGACGAGCATTCAAACGATGTCCTGTTTTTCTTCGATATGCCCAAAGCCCTAAGTCTTCATTTAACACCCTTTTCACCGTGGTTCTACTTAACCCCATCTGAATGGCCAACAGTTTCTGCTTACGTTTGAGATTTCTTTGAATTCGCGCCTTCACAGCTTTTATCACTGCTGGAGTCCTAACAGACCGAGGGCGACCACTTCTTGACCTGTCATCTACACTAGAGTCTTCATTGTATCGTTTAATGGTACGATAAACGAATCTTTTGGTTATATTCAAATTTTTCAGTATGTCAAAAATTTGAATTGGCGCGTAACCGCAACGATGCAACGCAATAACTGCAACACGGTCTTCTTTAAGCGTCCACTCCATATTTAAAAATGAGTAAAATTCTAGAAAGTATACAGTTTTATTTTCATGAACAATTCGAAATTCGAATTCAATAAACTTTTTTGTGGCCAGCGTTCTAAAAGAAAAGTTTTTATTGTGTGACAATACTTATGACCTGACTAGGTATATCTAAGTGTTTTGTAATATGTTATGTGTTTAACGTCGTTAAATCCTATTATTTTCATTAAAAACCCCGATGGCAAAGTTGCCACAAAGGTAGGTTAACCAAGATATTTTTTATTTTTGAGTATTTTCTCTATTTAGAATTAGTATTTTTAATAGACTAATTACTAAACCATTTAATATTGAGGAGACTGAGAGTACCTTTTATGTTGGAAAATTGGTCCTAGTCTTTAAAGTCCTTCCAAAAATGGGAAAGTTGCCAGGTTTCACGTAAATATATTTGTAATAATTGGTATATAGTAACTAAGAAAGATAAAGATCGTTAAAAAACTAAAAAATATTTGATCAGGGTTATGCTAATACACACTACATGGATACTATTTAGGTAGCATAAAATTGTAATAACTACCTAGTTTATACGATTCAAGTTATAATTCCTATTTTTATATTCATACTATCTTGAACAAACAATAATTAAGTAGGCTATACATAGTAACCAAGACTTTGCAATATTTAATTTCTACCATTTTTTTTTTTTTTTTTATAGGAGAGGGGGCAAACGAGCATGCGGCTCACCTGATGGTAAGTGACTACCGCCGCCCATGAACAACCGCAACACCAGGGGAATTGCAGATGCGTTGCCGGCCTTTTAAAAAGGAATAGGCTCTTTTCTTGAAGGTCCCTAAGTCGTATCGGTCCGGAAAAATCCCTGGTGGTAAACTATTCCACAAGGAAGTTGTGCGAGGAAGAAAACATCTTCTAAATCGCACAGTGGTGGACCGCCAATCATCCAGATGGTGTGGATGGTATCGGGAGTTCTGCCGCGATGTGCGTTCGTGAAATTTGGCGGCTGGGATTAATCCGAACAATTCCTCAGAGCACTCCCCATGGTAGATGCGAAAGAAAATGCAAAGAGATGCAACATCTCTTCGCAGTGCCAATGAATCGAGCCGATCGGAAAGGGCTCGGTCGTCGACGATTCGAGCCGCTCTGCGCTGGATGCGGTCAAGTGGAAGGAGCTGGCACTGGGGAGCCCCTGCCCAGAGATGGGAACAGTATTCCATGTGAGGCCGAACCTGCGCCTTGTAAAGTTGCAGGCGGTGTGCCGGCATGAAATACTGTCCCGCTCTGCTGAGCACGCCAAGCTTTTTAGAGGCCAATTTGGCCTTCTCTTCCAAGTGACCACGAAACTGCACGTCACTCGATATGTCGACTCCGAGGATACCGATACTGGCTGAGGCAAGAAGGGGAGTGCCTTGAAACTGAGGAGATACGACAAAGGGGTTCTTTTTAGCGGTAAACGCGCAAACTTGTGTCTTCTGAGGATTAAACTGGACTAGATTTAGTCGCCCCCAATCCGAGACTTTGTCCAGCAAAGACTCGACTTCAGACACAAGTTTGTTCCGGTACTCGGCGACGTTTTCCCGAGAAATATTGGCCCGGCCGGTGTAAAGAGCATCACCAGTGCTGTCATCCGCATAGCAATGAATGTTACCAGTTAGCAACATATCATTGATATGCAGAAGAAACAGCGTTGGTGATAGCACACAGCCTTGTGGAACACCAGCGTTAATAGGCTTGTAGTCAGAACATGCACCGTCTACAACGACCTTGATGCTCCGATCTGCAAGAAAGCTGGTGATCCAATTGCACAATTTCTCGGGAAGCCCATAGGAAGGCAGCTTCGAAAGAAGCGCTTTGTGCCAAACCCGATCAAAGGCCTTCGCAATGTCCAGACTAACGGCCAACGCCTCCCCCTTGGACTCTACTGCCTTCGCCCATCTATGGGTCAGGTAGACCAGAAGATCACCAGCTGATCGACCCCGACGAAAACCGTATTGGCGGTCACTAATCAGCTGGTGATCCTCAAGGTACCGGATGAGCTGGCAGTTAATAATGGATTCCATTATTTTGGAGAACAAGGAGGTGATCGCGATAGGCCTATAGTTGGACGGGTCTGTGCGGTCGCCTTTTTTAGGGATCGGGTGGACAAAAGCTGTCTTCCATGAATTCGGGACTACGCCTTGGGAGTAGGAGTACCGGAAAAGACGCGTTAGGACCGGTGCCAACTCCGGAGCACACGTCCTCAGCACAATTGGGGGGATTCCGTCAGGCCCACTCGACTTCTGGATGTCCAGGGAGAGAAGTACTTTGCGAACTGAGCGCTGTGAGAATAGCACATCCGGCATGGAGCACTCACACCGCGGGATGGTCGGCGGTATTTTCCCCCCGTCATCAAGAGTCGAGTTGGACGCAAAAAGGGAGCCTAAAAGGTCGGCTTTGTCTTTTGCGTCTTGGGCCAGTGAGTCGTCCTCCCTGTGCAGAGATGGTAGTGATGGCTTACAGAAATTCCCTTGGACAGCCTTGGCGAGAGACCAGAATGCACGGGTTCCCGAAGGAAGGCGAACTAGTTTCTCGCCAATTCTGCCTATGTGCTCTGACTTTGCCTTGGCAATAACTCTTTTGAAGGACCTGGAGGCGAAGTTATACTTCTTTTTAAGTGTGCTGGTGTTTACATCCCGAGTCACCGAAGCCGCAGCCCAGGCTTGATAACACTCCTGCTTACTGCGCAATGCAGTCTTACAGGAGCGACCAAACCAAGGCTGAGATCTGCCTCCGATGGGTACCACAGATGATGGAATAAATAGTTCCATTCCCTGTAGCACCACATCAGTGACAGAGTCAGCAACAGCACTGGGATCATCCGGCGAGAAGCAAACCCGCCCCCATGGGTAGGATGCAAAGAAAGACCGCATTCCGTCCCAATCCGCCGACCTGTAATGCCAAACACGGCGGCAACCTGCAGAACGCAACCGCGAAGGGAGCGTGAGTGGCACCATACTCCGGATCAGACAATGGTCCGAAGAGCCGAGAGGGGCATCGACGGAAACCTGATATCCGTCCGGATGAGAGGTCAGCAGAAGGTCCAACAGGGAAGGTGTATGATCCTCCACATCTGGAATCCGCGTAGGCGAAGTAACCAGTTGTGTCAGACCATATGCCAAGGCAAAGTCATAAACAGATCTCCCCGCATGATCGGTTAAACGTGAACCGAGCCATTCGGCATGGTGGGCGTTAAAATCGCCAAGGATCACGATCTCTGCGGATGGGACCTGTTGTAGCAAGGAATCTGTAGCCATTTGGACGTGGTCGATGAGTCGGTCTGTTTCGGCATTACCGCTATGGGACCTATAGAGGCACCCGTAGACGCGCGGATGGTCGTCGCTGTCTACGCGTAGCCAAAGGATGGACAGGTCCGAACCTTCAAGACTGCCGAGGCGTCGAGAACAGATGTCCTCTCTAACATACACGCAAACTCCAGCCCGAGGCACAAAGGAGTGCTCCAATTTGTACCCCGGGTAGGAGAGATACGAAATATCAGTCGGAGAGGAAACCTGCGTCTCGGTCAAAAAGAGCAAGGCCGGCTTCGCCGTCTCGAGATGGTAGTGGACGGCGTTTAGGTTAGAGTGAAGTCCCCTGATGTTGCAGAAATTCACGGATAGCGTGGCAGGGGTCGCCTTGGTATTGTTGCTCAGCTTGCCCCGAGCAGTTTTGTTTTTGAGCGGAATTTTGCCCCCCCCAGAATACGCGGGGCAGCCTGAGCACCCACGCTCAGGATTGGAATAACATGGTCGTGGATGCTCAGCGAGGGATTCTCCAGGGGTACTGGTACCCTCCTGGGGTAGTCTATTGTCTAATTCCGCTACCATGTTGATGGGGGGGGGGGGGGGGAATTGGGCCTCCGGCCACCTGCACTCACCAGACGAAACGCAGAAGCAGAGCCTCCACTTCACGCCGGTATTCTGTGAGGTCGTGGTACCAACCCGGCTCGAGCCGGCCCATACGTGCAACAGCAAAAAACTGCTGCAGGGCTCTACCACCGTTAAATTTTTAGTTTATAAGTTAAAAAAAATTGATCAGACAGACGGAACTTTGTTAATGCGCTAGTACATATTACTTAACGTTTCTGAATACATTCAAACGAAACTTAAAAACAATTCTTACTGTTTTACAATAAAACGGTTAGAACTTCCAAACAATCCACTTAACTTCAATTCAACCCGCACAATATGGAAATAAGTAGGTACCTATACAGATAACAATTTGTATTACAATTTTTTGTAACTATTTTAGCAAATGTATATATAGTACATATAATACTAAACGCCACATACAATTTATGATTTTTTTCTTGTGTTAAATATACGTTAGTATTACACCCCTTTTCCTTCAGTGTCTTATGAGACGATTAAGCCTTAGCTCTTGTCTTTCGATAGATGGCATTTGCACCTTATTTATGTCTGGCTCAGTCCTAAAATACCCATCGACCGACGATAGGAAGCAGAAAAAAGGGTGCTAACCATCTTTCGCAAATCCTTCCTTTAATGGCAGAGACTCATATGCAGTAGTGGACTTTTACGAAACGATGATAAGGAAAAAGAATGTGTAAAATACATGTAGTAGTAGGTAGTTACTAGTAGTACACACTCACTTGTTCTTTTAGTAGGTACAACTTAGTTTTGTCCGGAAGTATTTGGTTTGAAACAGATATATAAGTACATTTTTTTGAAAATTAGGCGTTTATTAATATAAATATATATTGTAATGTCCTCCATCTCCAGTTATTAGGAAGATGCTGCTGCTAATCTCCTGTTTCAGTTTCCCTTTGCCGCCGCTTACGATACCAACGAGATGATTTGGGGTAGTGAATAATCACTATCACACCGCCACTACTCACTACGCCTAAATATTACAGTACATTAATTTTAGTAGGTTCAATATATTTATATCTTTTGATATTAAAATATATTTTTCAATTAATTTGTTAAATCGCACCTAAGATTGGTTTGCTTTCAATACATCGCATGCGTATTCGAAAACCTCATTTCGAGAATGGTCATATCAGAAACGTTCGTGTATATGACGACGTTTCCGAGATGACTGCTTGGTGCTTGGTTGTTTGTGCCATGGCTGCAACACGAATAGGTCGGTTCAAGAGTGGGGGATATTGCGGAGACCCTTATTACTGGTTATCGGCTGTTTGATTCTTACTTGAGGATAGATGTTAATTATGTCTGTAACCGCTTACCATGTGTACTGTGCTCATTTGTCACCCTTACTATGCCATTACTGAAAACAGAACAGAATCAAAAGCATTTTTACTTTGAGGCAATGATGACGTTTGCAAAAAGTTCTATTCTTGAAGCCTTTCTCTGATTCAAGCTCATTGTCAGAATTATAACTCTCTAACAATCGACCAAACCAACTTGGTGAATAAGATTCATAAGATTACATAGGTACGCAGGCTTACTGCCGAGAGATTCGAGTTCGGAATCAATCGAATTTGATTCGAAAACAAGGTCAAAACAATTCGTACTCCTGAAACCGAAGCTAGCGCAAAATCGAATAGTGGCACGAATTAAATCTCAGTGAACAACTTGAATCTGTGTGAGGAAGCACACCGCATGCACATTAGGTGAAGAAATAATATGCTGAGGATGAGTCAATAAGTATTTGCAATAAAGCTCTTACTTTTACTTATGACTTAGCATCTTTTGTTACCTCTTACCTTTTGCTTAAATTGATTACCAGCTTAAGTTTTTCAACAATTTTTGGAATGTACTCCAAGAATTGCTCCAAATTATCCATTTCATGAGTGCTATAAAGGTGCATTGTATAGGTTTTTAAAGAACCTATATTACATAATAATATTATTATACTAGCTGTTCCCCGCGACTACGCCCGCGTGGAATATATTGCGTTTGTATTTCATGGGTTTTGTTTGCGCGGAACCCTTATTTTTTTCCTAAAATAAAAGTCGCCTAAGTTACTTTTTATAACATCAGCTATCTGCCAGTGAAAGTCATAGGTTTTTGTGTGATGCGTGTTCGGACAGACGTCGTGTTAGTTTTATTATAGTATAGATAGAAGATAGATTGACTAATCTGGCAACTTTAAAAATGTATACGTACATCAATACAGTAAAATTTAATCAATTTTCATTTATTCATTATTAAATCAAACGAAATGAGTGTTTGAATTGGCAATTCAATAAAAGCGCTATCTATCGCTTATATTTTATATTTCCTAAAGCTAAAACATTGATGTCGCTAGTAGGCACCGAGGTAAATGGGTAGTTTAATTGAGAAGTTAATTTTTAATAAAAGTTTATCAGTTTCAAAAGTATTATATTAATACACAAAATAATGCCTCAGTGGTTTGCTCTTTAAATTTTTTGCACATTTTTTTAAAATTTTCTACTTTTACGAATATCTGTAGTTTCGTTTATTTATTTTTAATCTTATTAATATAAAATACAGGTAATACCATAGAAAAAAACATTAACCTTTACATTTTTCGAACAAATTAACTTCCCCGCTATGATATCTGTCAAATATTATACTTCACTTAAGTGGCGCCACCCTGGTGGCAGAAAAAGTCGTGGATGCCTTCATTACTATTTTTCAAATCACATCCGATCAGTAACTTCAGATATCCGCTGCTGATAGGGCTCGTAATAGCAACCGACGACAATAGTATTTTAATGTTCTTTTAATATAACGCAATAAAAATTGAGAATTTTTAGTTAGGAGTTGATTTTTAATTAATTAAAAATTGTCTAAAAATAGGTAATAAGGATTTGACATAATTAGCCGGATTTGCTTAACGGCGCTGATACAGAGAATCTTATTAGTCCCGGTGGAGCTCTGATAACGCTAGACCTTATAAATAATTAGAAGTTCGAATTTTCGGAATTTCATAAAACATGGCGTAGAGCGCGAACCGTTCGGGGGAGAATTTTTTTTAGGGAACCGAGGCTACCTCCCCTTGCCCAAACACGTACGTACAAGATTATCCATAATTACTGGGACACCTGTATAAGTAAGCTGTATAGATACAGTACAGATAGCCGCCTTTAAAATGAGTACCCATTTCGTACATTTATTTTTTACTATGGAAGTTACGTCAGCCTGCTTGGTAGGATAGCTTGGTACCCTTTTCATACATATATTTTTGGTATGGACTATGTAGCTATTACACAATGACTTTATGCGTGTAATACCATGGAGCAAACACGCGCCAACGGCGGAACGGAGGGTTGTAGCTATGTGCAGGCGTTCCCCTCTGTTCCCTCTGTCTGTATCTACGACTGTTAAATTTTTTTGTGAGTTTCGTAGTGACAGACGATTGTTTTTGTGTGCGCAGTTTTTTCCTCGCAGAAAATGACACAGTTCTGTATCGAAAAAAAAACGCGGAGGGGACGCCGGCCCGCTTTTGGCCCGCGCTGCTCTATGCTTAGTGCATATTTTTTTTAAAAGCTTGAATTTATTTTTAAAAGGTGCTAAAGAAATGGAATATAACTTAATAGTCTGTGTACATATAAATATCTGTATTAATCCAAATACATTTATATAGTACCTAGATTAATACAGACATTTATATACATATATCTAATTAATTTGCTTTAAGTTTTTATTACCTGTAAAAAAAACCAAATCTCTTCAGTCCGACACAATAATGAAATAAAACACCTATGTATTTATTACTACTAATATAATATTATGTTTTCGATCATGTTGAAACAACACATAATTATCTTACAAACTTAAGAATAACGTTTATTTTTATTTCTGTGGGCTAAATTTTCTGCACGAATAATTATATCTCATGTAATATTTACTTAATATAAGTATGTATCTTAAAATTGATCATGACTAATAATATGAGAGATTTTAGTTAGTACATAATATAATATATAAAGCACGTTTAAAAAGAACATGATGAGATAAAATGATATCGATATTTTGTATAATTATGAATAATCATAAAATACATAAAGTATGTGCATATTACAATAGCTAAATAATTTCTAGATAAATATTATTAAAACTTCATTTATGTATCGTCATCAAGTTCGCATCTACTCGGGGCAGCCTTATCCTTCTTGGTCGGAGATTCTTTGACTGCATCTGAAATATAGATTGTGTCATGGTAAAAATTTGACTTCTTTTTTTTAAATTGAAATAGGGTTGGAACGAAAATTTGCGACAACAGTGAGATGAATGCGGTACCAATTTTAAACAGATATTTTTTAATATTTTTAACGGTTTAAATGACTTGGAAACATACTAAACATAAAAATATATTCCACTCGAAGAATATTGACGAGAGAGACAATACCAGCCACAACTAACATTCTCTCCTCTCTCAAAAAATATTTCGAAGACATATGAAGTCCGCGGACACTTCCTTGCCCTAAAGCCCTCTCAGAAGTGAGTTATTGGAAAGACGCTGCGGCCCACTTTTGCTGTTTCCCTCTGTCGCCTCTTACGACACCCACGGGACTATAATATGTAGTGGATATTTTGACTCCGCCAGCAAGCGGTATGCATCACAATGACTTATAATTATTTAATACGTTCTAAACATACCTCCTTCACTGACTAGCGAAGATCTCATTGATACGGGATCAGCTGTTGGTAATTTTATGCCTTGCTTTAGAACCATGGTACCATCCTTAAAATTAAACATAACACATTTTAAGTCCTTATTATATACATACAGGTCTTATAATTAATTCTAGTATCTCATGTTTTTTTTTATTATTGTAATTAATAATTACATATAATAATCAATAATACACTTAATACATTTGCTTGTTTAATTTTCAAACAATTTAATTGAGAATTTAAATCTCACCTTCATTTCCACAAGTCCTTTCTTCGCCATTGCTTCTACTTCAGCTTTGGTCATAACTATTTTCTGTACCTTAACCATTTTCTTTCCTATTTGCATTTCGCACAATTCACCGGTAGCCATTGCTAAAAAAAAATTATAATAACGGGTGATTCAAGTAGAGATACTTTTTTCAATATGCTTTTTTGACAGATCACGTGTGAGTCGTGTCATGCTGTCATGTTATTTTTGTTTAGTATTGTTTGGCATTTCATAATGGAAAGACTTACGCCTGAACAACGTTTACAAATCGTTCAACTTTATTACGAAAATTCACGTTCTGTGAGGTGTGTTTCGTGCACTTCGCTCACATATGGTCAACATAATCGGCCTACTGAGCGTACTATTCGCAACACCATGACCCATTTTGAGACCCAGCATTCATTATTGAATAATATCCGACCGAATAGACCACGTCCAGCACGCTGTGAAGAAAATATAGCGGCCGTAGCTGAGAGTGTACACGAATACCGCCGACTATTTGATGCCTGAAATTGAAGCTTGTGATCTCGTTGCCATTTGGTTTCAGCAAGACGGCGCCAGTTCCCACACATCGCATCAATCAATGGATTTATTGAGAGAACATTTCGGTGAGCACATAATTTCATGTTTTGGGCCGGTCGATTGGCCACCAAGATCGTGTGAAATCACACCGTTAGACTTTTTCCTGTGGGGATATGTAAAGTCTAAAGTTTATGCGGACAAACCCGCTTCGATTCAGGCCTTGGAGGAAAACATCACGCGTGTCATTCGCCAGTTACCAGTCGAAATGCTCGAACGAGTCATCGAAAATTGGACTCAACGGATGGACCATCTGCGTCGTAGCAACGGCCAACATTTGATAGACATAATCTTCAAAAAATAAATGCCAAAGAATGTTCTTTCAAATGATAATAAACATTCTCCATTCAATTTGAATTTCCTGTATTTTTTTCTTTAAAAAAGTAGGGAACCTCGAAATGGATCACGCCTTATTATGTCAGGCCTTATAGTTCAATAGTTTATTGATGGACAAAGGCATCGAGATTACCACAATTATTGGTCTTTAGCCATGTGTATCTATTGACTCCCTGAACATCTTATTGTAGATGGATCGAGTTCAAAGTCCTCACTCCATCTACACCATTTTTGCCAGTACAAGCCTACCACTATAGAAATCTATTCTCCACATTGGCTGTCGGTTCTTTCGAGTATAAAGCCAGGTCATGACCACTTTATTTTACAGAAAATAACTATTAAGATTCCCTTACGAAATTTCCCTACACGGCATAGAGGCTGGTAGATCTGTACTTTTGAATTGTAATTAACAGTGAACACGACATATTTATTAGCAATATAGTTCGTTGAACAAAATTAAACTTTCCCATTCAACCATCAATGAAGATGCACGTCACTTTCGCGAGTCACTATTGGCAACGACCCTTGGTTGCATACATTTTTTTAAGTTTTATGGTAAACAGGATGAAAACATATCGATTGACTTCTTGGTCGCAGTTAGAGCCGGGCAACTTGTCCTAGGCAAACGTACTCGTCAACAACTTCGAGCGTAGTGTTCCTAACAAATAACAGTAGAAGTGTGATAAATCTCGTAGAAATGATCTTATTCTTTTACCTAGGCTTTTAGTCCATTGCTCGCTATTGCCGGTTCGTATATTTTACGTCCTACGACCTAGAAATCTGGCTTATAGGCAATATGTAATTGTCAACCGAAATAAAAAATTTCGAAATAGACAAATTTTACCTAGGTATAAAATGTAAAAATGAGTTTTTTTTCATTTAATACAATATAGATAAAACATGGCTTACGTCTGGCAGATACGGGCAGAGGTAATGGTTTCACACCCGGTGGTAACGCTTTTATTGGCACCTGAAAAGACAAATATTTTTTTTTATACAAGGGTGATAAACAGGAACAGTCTTAACCTCTCAACCGTCCACGGTGACTACAGACCTCAAAAAAATTATTGCCTCACCTGTAAATGGTGACTAAAGTCACCAAACGACATATTTCGGTTTAAAAGTGTAATAATAGATAAACCTGTATTAAATTTGTTATCTGTGAGAGTGATTTTTTTTTCTAAATATCTTGTTGCCAATGGCAAGATATTTGGAAAAAAATATGAAAATGGCGGTTTGCCATTTAGGTTTGTGAAAAACTGTGTGAAGCTCAATAAAAAATGTGGTAAGTTTTCTGTTTTATACGTTATTTCTAATGTTTATTGTACATCAAATTAACTAGGAAGATATTTCCTTTAAGAAATGTGTATCATTACGACAATTCCAAAATGTTTACTTATAATAATTTAGCTCGAAATTTTAATAATTATACGCGATCATCGTTTATTGATTATAATATAATGTAATTATGTTGTTTAAAATGTACCTATTCTAATCAGTTTTTGTGTTAAATGAATGCTTCACTATTAACACGTTGATAGCCATTTATAAACGAAATATCTGTTGAGGTATGTCTAAAAATTTATAAGTTATTTTTGTTTATTTATTTATTATTAAAATTTATATTGAGTAAGTATTATTATATTTATCTATATTGAGTATATAACTTATTATAGATATTGGTGTCATTTTAAAGGGAATATTATGTACTATTAAAATTCTTGTAAAACGCGAAATAAAAAAATAAATTCCATTTTTTTGATATTTCCATATTTAAGCTTTATTTTCATCCTTTATTTTTAATTTGACCAATTTTCTTTTAACAAAATTAAATTTTAAATTCTTTAAGCTATTTGAGAATATTATTTTTTATTTTAATGCAGGTTTTTCAGTAGTAATCGTTATTGTTGAGACAGTCTCGCGCGGTCGTAAAAAAGTGACATTTTAATGCGCGGACAGGTGAGCCGAGAATCACTCGCGAGGCGTGGACGGTGGAGAGGGTCTTAATGAAGAAAAATGGATGATGTGGTCTATAAAATCTTACATTAATTATGAATTAAAATGCTTGTGATCAAACTCTCTTAAACACGTTATTTAATCGTGCAGCTCTTTTATAGGCCGCTATGGTAATGAAGCATAGTCTAGTCTATGGTATATAGTATGAAGTATAGTCTATGGTATGTGATATTGTGTTCATACAAAAATAGGTGCTGGTCTAAGGACCGCATTATTGGGTTTAGAATCCAGCATTTACAAATAAGTAGACAAAAATACAACTAGGGATTACAGAAATAAGTGAAAAAATTGTTAAATAAATGGGTTAAATACTTGCTACTGATATACCTTTTTTAAGGTTTGTCCAGAAGGTGCGACTAGCAATCCAGCTGCAGTTTGTGCTTGTTCAGTATTAGTCTTTGTTCCTTCCTGTAAATAGGATGTACAATATCACATGCAAATTATATTTACAGTATTTTATCTTTAACAAATTGTTTCGACATATTTAAACATTATATGCTAAACTTTAGTATGTAATGTTATTTTTAATATTGCTAAAGGATGCCCTAGACGGAAGTTTATCGCCCAAATTGTTGATATATTGTAAATGGGTCAAATTAAAAGTACCCTTAACCGACGATCATGTATGCGTAGGTTAATGGATGGGGAAATAGCGAAAGAGATATTTCCTCTGGGTAACAGGCGTAAGTTTATATTATTGTATTTTTAGGAAACTTACAGAGGAATTTTCCATGGGATTGCTGTTTTTATTGCCTACATTTGTTTTTTCATCTGTAGATAACTCCTTAGTTCTATTTGATTCGTCCAATTCTGTCGTGCTTGACTGATTATTTCCTTCATTTGTTTCTTTGGCGTCCTTCTTTATTTTTGAAGGTCTGAAATGTCATACATCTAACAATAAATTAAATGTTATATTAAATGGTAAAATAATAGAACGCTAACTCAGTTAAAAAATCAACAACAGGTACTTTAGAATATTATACATTAATATAAAATATAAATATTTTTAAAACAAAAGTGTGGTAGGTAGTTAGTGCTACATGTATTTTAATAATAATGTGTTATATAGACTATGTTAAGTGTATACTTTATTTATGTACTAGCAACCCGCCGAGGTTCGCCTGATGGTGTCATTTTTTTAAAATAATCAACGATAACCATTTATTTAAAAAAAAAACATTTCGCGAAAAAAAAACTCCAAGTTTTTCGGATAAAATTTGCATTGCTTCGCTATCACTCTTCATTGATTATTTTGTGAGCACAATTGTTTCAGTTATTCCTAAGATTAGCCCGGACAGACAGACAAAAATTTTACAAAAGCTTATTGATGTCTTTATGGCAAGCAAAATGCAAATAACCTGCCTTAGCTCGATAAAAGCAGGCCTGTCTCACTACGCGCTTTAGGCATGAATATATACCTACGTTGCGCGGCCCTCTCTACGAGGGGATAATTCCGTAAGGTAGTCACGCGCGCGCTCCAGCTGACGCGCATCTCACATATACAAAATAGTATTTTTCAAGTATTTAGGCACTTTTGATATTTATTTTTGAGTTTTTATTCAAGTATGGCCTCTCAAAAATTCAAAAGGTACTGCATAGCATGCAGGTGCTTAAATAACAATAGGAATATTGACTTTTCAATCTTTACTGTTCCCAGGGATACCGAAAGATAATATATTATTATTTATATATAGATCTAGATAATTAGGTACTTAGTTTCTGACGCCATAGTTAGACTTATTATTTGATTAGTGATCCGACCACAGCTTCGCAGTTTACGATTTTTTCGCGTATATGTAATGCTAATGAGCTTAAAAATTAGTTCAGTGTAAGTAGACCTCCCTCTACTAGTGACTACCTACTAATGCAAGATCAGCATAATATACTGGATATTAGTTTACCACTTGGTTGATAAAAGAAAGAGATTGAAAATAGCTGCACTACTCATTGCCACTCTTTCATTAATAATGAAGTAGCAAAAAATGTGAAACAGACAAGTGACGGTTTTGTGGCACAGTGGCTTAGTAATGAGTTGCAACGCTGAAGCTGCGAGTTCGAATCCCGCACGGAACAAGTATTGATATTACTGACAAACTTCAATTTTATTTATATGTGTAGATTTAGTAAAATATTATATTCGTTTAATTAAATTAATTAATTTCTAGCTTTCCTTTTTTTATTTTGTGTATAACCAACGATCTACTTTGACGCCAAATTTCAAATTTCTAAGTTACTTTAAATGATTTTTGTGTACTCACACTTCTTTTAGCGGTTCTTTACGTGGTCGGCCACGTTTTCTTGGCGGAGTAGGCGCCACTTCGGGCGTTTGTGCTACTTTGGTCTGTGTAGTAGCTGTGAGTGTAGTTTGTATCATTTTAGGCTGCACCTTCACAGCACTTTTACGTCCTTTTGGCTTCTAATAAGAAAACAAATATTGTAAAAATTACAATTTATTTTTTTATTTCCAGAAAGACAAAGCAAAATATTTAAATTAACACCACTAATGACCAATAAATACAGTTGGGTTAGGTTAGGAACTACTGCCCCCAGGACGAGCTTCCAATAAAGGAAAGCGAGAGAGCGGCCCCGGTTGCGTTCCGAACGGACATCCCGGGACCCCTCGTACACGCTGATATAGACCACGGTGGGGTTTGAGCCGGTAGGAGTCCGGCATAACCTTCCGGACGCCCCCGCAGCCAAAGTTATCCATGAGGATTTCCCCACGAAAAAAAGTTATATTAGGAAGTTTAAGAAAACCCATAATCTCATTTCACGTCTTGTGGGTGTCGTTAGAGGAGACTATGGGAAAGATCTCAATTTTGTCAAAGGAGCGGCATGTTGCGCAACATTTCGCTCAACAGCTACGTGGAATGTCCAGAGACATATGTCGCGGAACATTTTGCAGGCCGCACTAGTCAGTGCTTATAGAAATGTTACCCGAGGAAGTTGTGGCGATGAGTGCTGCGTACAAAGTACTTATTTCGGGAGCGAAACGTAATCGAAACTAATATTTTAAGTGATCTCCGTATGTCTGACGTATCTTTTGTGAATTTTACTCGAATGTCAACATCTGATTTTGAAACTTTATTACAAATGATCTGACCTTCCATAGCCAAACAGGATACAATACTACGGAACGCTGTTGGCCCACATATCAGGCTTGCCATTGTATTAAGATACTTGTTGACTGGAGATTCTTATGCTTTCTTGTCGTACACTTTTCGAGTGTCGAAACAACTGGTCATCAGTAGAATAGTACTAAAAGTTCGTGGTTTGAAGTATCCCACAACAAAACATGACTCTGGTAAAGCTCAAGAAGCAGTTTTGTTTCCCCACACTACTGACATGTTGCACGGCAAGTTGCGCACGTGACTACACCCGGTAACAAATGGCGCGACACTGACGCGGAACACGTGCGCTCGCTCTCGGAGCGGGAACAAGCAACATGTCCCGCGTCACGTAAAATATTGCGGGCCATGTTGCGGGTTACTGTGCAACGTTGCAGCGTCACGTAGATTGAGTGTACCGCATCATGCTGCGGGACAAGATGTCCCCTAGTGTATCCGGGGCTTTAATTGACATTTAAAATAGATATTTTTTTATCTAACCTCTAGTGGCTTGTCAGCTCTGTACTCTTCGTCATCAGCGTCATCGGAGTCATCTTCGTCGGGATGAGATCTGAAGTTTAAAAATATTTATTATTTAACTGTCTCAAAATATCTTATTCATATGTTTGGCAGGTACATTTTTTTTTACTAAATAATTATATTTTTACTATTTGAAACGACAGATTTTAGATGAAGCAAATTAGCACTTTTTTATAATGATAATGGTTAACTATTTCCGAAACCTTTAATATTTTTATGAAGCGCAGGATATATTGTAATACCATATATCATTATATTTTTTGAAAATCAGTGTCATCTTTAAATATTAGCAAAGTGAAGAGGGTATTTTGTCTAACGATATTTGAAGAATTGATTTTACGATATATTATTGTTGCGCTGTGCCCTAACGGCTAAGCTAGCCAAACGTAGATAGACAAACTGCTGATTCAATAACTTACGAAGTCATCATCATCTTTTATTCCCTGATTTTCTCCTACAAAACTGGATCAGTGTAATTTTTTAATAGAAATAAAAAAAGGATTGTGGTTAAGGTCTCAGCTTCTTTAACTTTTCTGTTGGTTTAATTTATTTTCCGAATGTCTATTAACGGCGGTAAAACTAGGCAATTATAGTAATTTCAAAATAATACTAGTATTTAAAATAATTAAATGAATTTATGAAAAAGAAGCATAGGAATTTAATCGAAAAAAATAATAATATTTGTTCTAATGTATGCACAATTCACGTAAAAAATAGAAAAATACGATGGCCGTCCGAACACTCTCTTTACCTGTCGCGGATCATTTTCGCATAATCTTTAATTTTGGATGGTCGCGTTGAACGACGTATCCCTTCGTCTGTTTGGCCTTTATCGGCATTTCCATTTTTAATAACACTCTGAAATATAAAATTAAGCTTGTGTTAATCCATGTATCCATCCAAATGTGAACATCGCCAAATATGCTTTATTTGATCGGGGGCGCCTCATTGTGTAGTAATTTTGCAATTATAAGCATCAAATCAATTTTACTTATTATGTGATAATTTAGGGATAAATTAAATATATAAAAATAAAAAAATACTGGAAACTGTATAGTTAATATATCTAAACATATAAATAAAATTGAACTGTCTGTAATATTAAATAACTATTTTGAGCTAAGGAGGTTATTTGCAATTTGGCTATGTACATTAAAGGCGTGCTGAAAAATGTTATTTATTCAACCCTTCCCGTATTTAAAAAAAAGGTGCCTAACGATTCTTAATTAGGTTACAGTTTCAGTACTGACTCTAGTATCAAGAAGTTGATGTTGAGATTCTTCTTCTTCTTTCTCGTTTAAAAAAAGAACGTTACCCCCATACAAGAATATTCTCTTGTATCGTGGAGGCAGTTTACAAACACAAATTGCACAAGGACAAACATACAGATCCGGAACAATTTTGTTCCGGATCTGGATGTTTGTCTGGATTTTTGTAGGCCATACAAATACTTGTTCCGTGCGGAATTCGAACCCGCGCCCCCCAGCGCAGTAACTCATAAAACTAGTATCACTACTAAATACTAGTTGCTTATGAGTTACTCTTACGAGTATATTACTCTTTGAAGATTAATAAATTAAAACAAAATTTAAGTCACCTTCGGTGTAATTGTGACGTCCTTTTCTTTGATTTCTTTCTCTTCTTTGGTGTTGGTGTTAACAACTTTTATCTCCTTGATTTCTTTCGGTTCTTTATTTTCTTTGGTTATAACGCGTCGCTCTAGTACTTTTTTCTCAATTACGGGCGTTTTCGTGGTTATTATAGCTTTCTTTTCTTCAACAGCTCTGTAGAATAGGAATAAAAGGAGTTACCCTAATGGATACCATACAGGATCCAGTTTACAGTTAAGTTTGTAGCGCGCTTGAAGCGGCATCCAGTAAACTTGACAGTGTATGGCTATCAGTGGCATGACTACTTGAAGCAAAAATTGAATTTCGATTCTGCCGACTTGATCAATATTGCAGCGTCATGTAAACTTGAATGTGTGTATGAGAGGTCAAGTATGCATGACGTTAGTTAGAGCAATAAGCCTAGGATGGCTAAAGCGTCGTCGTCCGTCGCTAGTGACGCCATGGTTTCAACTGGTGCAGCATCGTGCAAACTAGATGGCGAACTTGAACGTGAGTGGTCTATATGGATGCATATGCTAACTGGATCGTGTATGGACAACGTAAAGGTATAATTACTTTTTCTACGAGCCTGCGCCAGTCTCACAGATCGTCGAGCATATATGCGTAGGTATATATATGCACGTGAAGGTGTTTCAGGGATCGTTCCAAATGGAAGTCCGTAGTATCGCCTACCCTGGGTGACAGTGACGTAAGTGCTTATGTTTTTATATTAAAAAATTAATTTAATCTTACTTCGTTTTAGGAGTTGATGTATGCACTTGCGGGCGTTTATTTCTCATCGGTTCCATTGCTTTAAGTTCAAATCTTGTATTATTCGTCTGGAAAATCAAAAAATAATATTATATTATTATAAAATAATACTTAAATCATAAAAATAATAAATTTAAGCTTACCCGCTTCAGTTCCTGCAATTCCTTTTCTAACAATTGTAATGATTTATTACTGGCGCCAACACTGTTGTTGCTTTCTGATTTGATGTTCGTTTTTTCTTTTTTTTCTGTAAATTTAAGATTTTAATTATATATTATGTTTCGTTAATATAACATTTTTTTAAAGGAGGACCTTTCAAAGTCGACAAATTTTGAAAATTTTAGATTCATAGTTTAACAAATAGTCTTAATTCTAGAAAACTTGGGGCAGTTGTGTCATTATTTTCGTCTGTGGTTCTAGAAATGTTATTTAGGGTTACGGTTCCAAAGTTTAAAAGAACAAAATTAATAAAAATTAACCACAATAACCGAAAAATGGTTACAGTTTGACCAAATTTCTAGGTTTTTCTTAAATGCCCATAATTTCCAAACTGCATGGGATAGATTTTTTCTGATTTTTCTCATGATGGTTACAATAAATCCTGTCACCCCGTTTCGGCTTGACGTTGAGTTCTGGGACATTCTGTATACTAAATATTTTTATCATACATGTTATTTTCTTATTTTGTAGTACTTTAATATAAAAAGTTCTTTTTTAAAAAAAAAAGGTATATGGATGTGGAGGAAGCGAGAGAGGTGTGTCAGGATCGTGCCAAATGGAAGTCCATAATCTCTGCCTGGGTGACAGGCGTGAGTGTTTATGTTTTATGTTATGTTTAACATAAAAATGTAAATATATTGTTTAATTTTTACATGCGGTTTTTATCAAAATTTAAGTTAATTTAATAAAGAAATACTATTTTTACCTATATCTTCATTTCCTTTTTGAGTTGATTTGCGTTTTACTTCTTCAGCTTTCCTTAAGATACTGGCTGTCTGTAAAATGATGGATTAATTAATTGTTATGTGAACTCTTTAAATACAAAATAATAGCATTTAAAAAAGGTCCTACAGGGTTTCTTCTTGGTTCTTCCCAGTACTGAGGTTTTTTTCCCAAACCAGTGGTAAATTAAACAAAAGAGTTACTTTTAATAAGTATTATTATTTATAACCTTTATTGATAAAAAAGTTTACGTTTCTGTTTCCCTGGCTTATGTCTAGAGTGGACTTAAAAGGTTGACGAAAATTGAAAGCTAACAGATTAAAATGTTACAGAAAATCCAAGGACTCCTTTTTTGCCTAGGCGTCCATTATGGTAGGCGCCACCGTTTTACTTATTTCTTATACTTAGTATAGCAGTGCGTACACTGCAGTGTTACAGTGTGAAATAGGGAGCCAGTGTAATTATAGGCTGTGAGGCATTCCATCATATTGCTCTAAGGTGACAACGCAAAGCTGTAGCCTTCTTTGTTTGAAGCAGACACACAGATAAACACGTTAAACATATACCACCCCTCTGCTTGCGTCGGGGTTAATGGACATTAGATTGTTATAAAGTTTAAAAATGTTTGTTATACTTGTGTGTCCCTGGCGGCCTGATCATTTTTATCCGCAGCAGGCTTGACACTAGTGACTGTAGCCATAGTGACATTTGTTTGTGGGCTTTCTATCGTTGCCTTGGTTGGTAAGTCCTTTTTGATTATCGCTAATGTGTCGACTGTCGATAATTCGGTGTAGGTTGTCTCTGGTTCACTGTCTGCAATGTTAATAAGAAATGTAAATTAATAAATAAGCCTTAAATATTTTGAGAAAATAAAAATCAGATCTAAACGAATCACCTAGTAGCTTACCTTCAGAGTTTGTGATTTCGCATTTTTCTTCAGATTCCTCTCGAGTATTGTGTAACTGGAAAGTTTAAAATGTACATAAACTGTTGTAACAAGAAAACCGTTATTATATTAACTGAATTAAAAATTTCATACCATGTAATCATCTGCTTTTTTAATTTCTATAACCATGTGATCCCCTTCATCTTTAACTGCAAACAATTTTTTTCTATGAAATTTAATTTAGACTTAAAAAATGAAACTTATAATAATAGTGCTGTAATTAATATGAAATATTCGCACAACAAACTAAAATAGGAGATGGACAGCAGCATTTATATAAGTGGTAGAATCATGCTGCAGCTATACTAGCAGTATAGTTCTAGCACGAATGGCTTGGTTCGTCCGAGGAAGGACCACGCTCTCACGGAATACCAGCGAAAAATAGCAGCTTAACACTGTTGTGTTTCGTATGGTGAGTGTAGAGAACCGGAGACCCCTTTTACTGGAAACGAGGCATTCCACCTTAGTCCTCACGGGTGACAACGCATCTGCATTTTGATTCATAGTCAAGGATATACTTAGATGTCTACGGACCACAGCAAACACTTACCATCAGGTTGACTGTGTGCTCGTTTGTTACCCTTATCCTATAAAAAAAATCTTCTTGATAACTCAAAATATAATATATATTTTCATATATCATTTTTACCATATATATAATCCTCATGGGAGTCCCACGTTCAGTAGTGGACTCGATGGGCTGTAATGAATGAATTTTTTTTTATCTGTTACGTTAAACAAAAAAATATGTTTATGTAGCATTATTATTAATGGTAATAACACTAACGCTGTGATACGACTGTGTAATAACCCACCATTTATGCTATTATCGTCATCATCTTCTGCGTCCATTTCCATGGAAGATTCATCCGGTCCCATTTCCTAAAAGAAGTAACTTTTTATTTTGCTTAATTAATTACTTTTTCAATTTGGTTTACACAATTAAATTAAAGATGTGAAAATTAAAAATCCTATGATCCGAGTGAAAAATTAAATGATTTGTATTAGACAGTTGGAAAAACACCTTACTCCCTTCCATGATTGCGTGCACTACGATTGCCACCACAAAACCTAACGCCGCTATACTAGAAAAGACTACCGTCGACAATAATTAATTTTTACATCTTTAACGTAATGTTTTTAAAAAAAAAAAAAAAAACTTTAACATGTTTTTTTTTATCCTTTGAATATAATGTTGTAATGAGTTATCAAAATGTTCCTTTTTATTTTTGATATCTATTAAATTATTTCTACGTCTCGGGTTGACTGGAAGAGAATGCCAAAAGGCTATAAAGTCTGTCCTTTGTAATCTTTTTATTAAGGTGTTTTATATACTATATAGTGTAAATAAATAAATAAAGAAATAATGGTACACAGCTGTTGAATGATAATGTACTGCCCTAAACGAAACACACCATGTATGTTGTTCATACTTGACGTTGCATTGTGTACGCTAGGCTAAAAGTTATCTTTAATTTTAATTTATAATTAAACCAGTGCTAAAGAACAATACTTTAATATCTTTAAATTTTTTAGGCGGCTGAATATTGCAAGTCGTGCCTCATGAGTAAAGAAACCGTACTGTACAGAGGCAAAGCTTCATACAACCGCGATGTGATAGGTACACTACTACAAGGTTGAGGTGCGTGTGTGCGTGAGCACTGGCGTCTCGTCACGTACAGAGAGAAACTGCTTTAAACCGGCTCAGCCAGTGCTCAAAATCAGGGTTGTAATAATAAGGTGACACTAGTCGACATTATTTCCATAGAAATTTCGGAGGGGTTTTACTCCGCTGTTTGACAGTGTACATCCAAAATTAAACATGATATCGTTTTGTCTCATTATTAAATTTGTCTGTACGGAAACAGAATAGTAAAATAAAATGTTATTAAAAAGTTACGAGCTACCAAAGATTCGTTTTTATTGCCAATTATAACACAACTTTGGGCGTAAATTAGTAATAAAAGAAGTGAAAAATTTTCAAAACAAAGTCGGTACCGACACAACTCAATTATCGAAGAACTCAATAAATTTTATTTGTAATTGATTAATGCAGTGGTTTTTTCATAAAACCCCTTCTTCCAAAGGCCTTTTCGTATTTTTTTACGCGCGCATGTTACTATGAATTATCGTGCATCTCACTGAATACTGTCTCCCCCGGTGCGGTGCGGGAGGACGATGCTTACACACACATGCACAGGCGGTGACGCGCGCTTATATTCGAGTTTTATACGAAACGAAAAGTTTTGCTATTTTGTAATTTGGACGCCAAAGACAAAAGACGGCATGGAAATTGATATAATTGAAAGAGATGATGCGTTTTGGACGACAGACGATATTTTAAAATTTTCGTCTGTAATATAATATAATTATAAAAGTAAAAAAAGTAAAGTCTATATTCGATTACTATATAAAATTGCAACAATTTCATTGGTGCCGACGGGGATCGAACCCGGGTTGCTCGCGTAATGTGATAATTACACCGAGCGCTAACCATCTAAGCTACCACGGCTCTCAATGCAAGTGTTATAAATAAATAAAGAATTACAAAACAGTTTAATTATTTATTAGACGACTTTTGCGGCGGACAAACAAAGTATATTATGTGGGATTTTCATAGGTACCTACTGTTATTACCTAGATACCTACAATCTACAATACAACAAAATGTCACAAAACCTCGCCGCGTCGTGGCCACAAAATTGTAAACTTTAGGTAGGTACGTCAGTACTAAGAAAACAATCTTGATGGGTCACTTGTCTTGATAAAAACCTGTGCTTACGTTTAGTGATATTGAGTATATATAAAAAAGTAAGAAGACAGGTAAGTAAGTATTTTTGAAAACAATTTATAGGTAGGCAGACCAATTACGATTATATATTATAAATGCGAAAGCTTGGATATTTGGATGGACGGATGAATGGATGTATGTTACTCAATCACGCCAGAACGGCTGAAGGGATCTGGATGATATTTTGCTCAGAGATAGGCTATAGTCTGGAATTTTTTTTTCAAAAAAACGTTACCCCACACTAGGATTTTCTCCTGTATCGTGGAGGCAGTTTACAAACATCCAGACCCGGAACAATTATTTGTAGACCATACAAATACTTGTTCGATTGATTCGAACCCGCGACTCCCAGTACAACAATTCATTGCTAAGCCACTGCGCCACGGAGCTGCCAAATATCATATATGATACCGTTTATTCAGGTATTTCGTTGCCGTGGGATAATTATCGAGTTACACACGTTCGAAGCCGAACTCTTCAGTGATTGCTGCACGACCACTCGGGGAAAACTAAACATAATAAAATAAGCAATCTATATTAGGTATAGAGCCACAGAGGTATACCTAATAATTTCGCGGTTTCACCCGCGTTATCACGTGTCCGAGATGCGTGGCATGACATGACACCCAGTTCAAGCATTTTATAATTGCAATCAAATATTTTATTTGATTGTAATGTATGGAAAAATTGTCATGATTAATGGAGTACTTTTATTTTATCTGTCGGCATATTATGCGCGGTTTTTTCCAGTTTTAAAGAAAAACGTACACGATACATGAAAAGTGTGTAGGCAAGAAATGATTCTTGATAAATTTGCTATCAACCTCTTATACTTATTAATCTTTCAAAATACCATAGCAACGTGAAATGAAAGAGTTCAGAAATAAAGATGTAACTAATCATTGCTACGCTCACCCGGGAGATAGATAAAAGTACTCAATTAATTTTGAATTTATTTTAGCTACTAGCTGTACCCCGCGACTTCGTCCGCGTTTAGTTTAGGGCGTTAATTTTGTTGCAAAGACACCTAATTTTTCTAAAATTTAAGCAGGCTAAGTTACTTCTTATAACATGAGCTATCTACTAGTGAAAGTCCCGTCAAAGTCGGTCCAGCCGTTTTGGAAATTAACCGCAACAAACAGACTGACAGACATACAAAAATGTTAAAAATTGTGTTAATGTTATAAGTACCGTATACAGTTTCATACGCAATTAGTAAAAAGCTGTTATTTTGACATTACAAACAGACACTTCAATTTTATTTATTTGTGTAGATATAGATAAAGATTGAACTAACGGCTAACCTAACCTCGCTCATAGAAGCTTTCAATACTGGCTTCTCAGTTCGCACCGGGCTAGGGGTTATGCGTTGTTTGCGCGTCAAGCCAAGTAGGTATTGAATTATTTTAATTTTACATTATCTCTTAAACTATGTACAATATAAACATGGTATAAAGAACGAAGTTTATCTTCATAAAATTGTCTTGATAATGAAGTAACTTTGGTTCGTAAGGTGCCTAATAACTAAATTTTCATTTTTTTTTGTCTTATATTATTGTGGCTTATATATAAGAAATAGACATATGGTATCGCGAACTTTTTTTAGACTGAGTAAAGATCTATATTTTTCTAGAACATTGTATTTACGTATCCCGAACCATAACAGCGCTTTTTCTTCTGACTTCCTTCAAATATAGGCTAGCTGAGATGTATAGCCTAATGCTGTATAGCCTATACTATTCAACATGAATCTGGCTATAATATCCAAAAAAAGATTTTTCAAATCTGACTGGTAGTTCCAGAGATTAGCACGTTTAAACAAACAAAAACCCTCTTCTGCTTTATTATATTAGTATAGATATTGCATCGTGTTCGTGTAACTTCGTTTTCATTCTAACGGTTCGGAACACCGTACGAACAAGACATGCGTGAATACTAGTGTCGATATGCTCATCACTGATACTATCTCTGTCGGGCACGATGCCAGGTGAGACAGCGTGTTTTTTGGCCGCGCCCACCAGCGAGTTCGAGCCCGCGACTTGTGCCACCATAAGTGTCAAATTTAGTTTTTTAAAGAATAATTCGTATCAAATGAAATATAAAAAAGTGTAAATATGGTATACTAATACCTACGCAGATTTAAATGTTATCGAGGTTGTCGCAAGAGACCGCTGATTTTGTAAATAAAATTAATAACTTGTTTGATTTCTTACACTCAAGTACACTGTGATCTCCTAATAAATATAAAAGAGATTTTCTGTGCGATAGTTATCAAATTGAGTTTTTAGAAGAAATGCTATCATTTTTCAGGAAGTTAAAATCAATAAGAAGTGATAGGCAGAAAGACATTACAAACAGCATGAATTTCATTCACCAATTTTAAGTATCTATAAAATATTTAATAAAACTTCATGAAGAATTAAAATCAGAAGAAATTAAATTAATTTATATTTACGAGATGTTTCAATCAAGATTGTCTCGAAAATTTCTTTGGAAAAGTTGGTAGAGGGCAGAGGTGGTAACTGCCAGGAACCAACATATGTTTATAACCAATATTTTAGGGAAACCTCAAAATAGTAATTGTGAAAACGATTTCGATATATTACTTATGAAATCAGACGATTGTCGTATTTTAATACACCATCACCGCATCCTGACGACGTTACTGCTAGGAACAAATAAATATCTATTTGATTTGAAAGAATAAAAATATACGTTAATAGATATATTATGGTACAGTTTTATTTTTTACAACTAAAAATTTTCGATAACTTATAAATGTAGGAAAAGATTCTTTTCTCAGCCATTCCAAGGATTTTAATAAAGATAGTATTCAATCGGGTTTTTTTTTAAATAATACTTCCTGACTTTTATCGCGTTTGTTGAATTGCTTGAGCAAAAATTTCACAAATATTTTGACCTCGAAATAAACTTTGTAATTATTTGTAGTTAAATTATTAAGACATGTGCAAGAGTTAATATTTGTTATGAAATGCGAGTGCTTTCATAAAGATTATTTAAAAAAAATACATTAAATTTAGAATTTACCATTAAATTAAAAGCCACAACAAATTGTTGAAAAACAATAATTATAAAAGTAAAATATTTAGAATACGTAGTTTGTAAAAAAATATTATATTGAATAAAACTACTTCTATGGATTTTATCGTGTTTAATTATACTTATTTTTAAATTCCCGATGGTTCGGGTGCTTTTCATGGTCACGGAGGACTGACGTGATTGACGTCCCGATGTCTGAGTGAACCCGAAGTACCTTCAGCTCTTTAATTTTGGTCCGATCTACGCAGAATGAACGTACTTTGTCTTGAAGTCTTGCAGTGGTATGCTTGGGTTTAGTTTTAATTTTATTAATTACCGGATCCCAAGCAGGTGGTAGTACCCAGCTTCCCTCTGTATTGAAATTAGGATGTCTTTTTTCTATCAAATCTAATGTTATGTGGTGGGGGCTGTCTATGTATGATCACAAACTGCGGACTTCCCGGAACGTTGGTATTTGACATCCGCTATGTATTCTTTTACGCGGGTTTGAATAGATAGTTTTATTTGCCCTATAAAAATTTAAAAAAAATCCTCAAAAAAGTATAATTAAACGCGATAAAATCCGTAAGAGTAGTTTTATGCTATGTGTAGTGTTCGCGTAAATATAAGAAATCATTATAAAATATTATATCATAAGTATCTAATAAAATGCTGATAAACGTTTTGTTTGTAATTTTATGGTCTGGCACAGGACCCTACCAAAATAGGTAAAAATTTTGACAGCTTCTTAGAAGCTTTGCCTCTGTACAGTTTCTTTACTCATGTGGTCGTGCGTCGTCTGTTCCAGTAGCGAGTTAACGTTTTAGATAACTATAAAAACGAATGAAAACAACGCTGTCTTAATGTTCAGATATCATTTCGATTCATTTTTATAGTTTTCTATGTTGAAAATCGTCTTAGCTAACCCTGCTGATGTACATACGTTAATGACTTGTGGCGCGTCGTCGGCTGCGAGTTATCTGAACCCTTACTGATACAAAATAAAACTTACATTATCAAATTCGTCTTCATGCGCCTGTAAAACATGACTCTCCAATTTTTCTTTTGTTGTAAAAACTAGCTCGCAAAAATCGCACATGAATTCTACCCCTGAAATGAGTATGTGGAATGAGTAAAATAAAAATGTTGAAAAGTTTAAATTACATGACGGTTATATATTGGTATGGCGTAAGTAGACAATTAAAAACTTTATTTTTTCATTGACTGATTTAATATGAGACATGTCACATTTTTCTTATGAAGAATTAAATGTGACAACACAACATAAAAACTATGATATGGCAAATTGAAAATCTTTCATCAATCAAACAAGTTTGAGGGATTTTGATTGCCACGAATTTATTAAATTTGTATTTTACTAAGTTTTTAACCAATATAGAGAACAATATCTATTTGATATAGTTTGCATCTATCATTATGCTTTACTTAAGTAAGCAATATATTAATACATTTTGTACGTGGTAGAGCCAAGCTGCAGCTATATTTATAATATAGTTGTAGTACGAATGGGTCGACCGGGGAAGGACCAAGCTCTCACAGAATACCAGCGTAAAATAGCAGCTTAATGCTGCAGCGTTTCGTATGGTGAGTGTAGAGAACCAGAGACCCTTTTTACTGGAAAAAAGGTATTCCATCTTAGTCCTCACGGGTGACAACGCATCTGCATTTTGATTCGCAAACAAGGATAGATGTAGATGTCTATGGGTCACAGCAACCGCTTACCATCAGGTGGACTGTGTGCTCGTTTGCCACCCTATTTCTATAAAAAAATCATACAATTATATACACACACACATACAACAATGTATCAATAATAAACATACCATTGACATGAGATTTAATATGAGCAGTGACATCATCAACATTCTCGAACTTCTCCTGGCAGAGAGGACAGGTAAGGTTCTGAGTGGCGTGGATCGCCGAATGGTAAATTAATTCATCCTGAGTAGAGAAGGTGTCCTCGCACTGCTCACAGCGGTACTGCTCCACTTGGCCGAAGGGTCCGCGAGCGGAACGGATATTCTCACGATGTTTGACACGCAGATGTCTGCAAATCAAGGAATTTATTTTTATTTTTACGAGGCTTACTTAGTAACAGTCTTGATTAAAATTGTTGTAAATCAATTACTTTGTACAGTGAATAAGATAAATTAGTTTCAGAGTATAAAATCCAGCAAAGTAGACAATTTCTTTTTGTATCGAGAATGGGCCCACCGCAAATTGTGGCGTAACTTAATGAAACATATCGATTTATTTCTTATAATCTTACAATAGTAATATTAGTTTTACCGCATCTACCAGGAATACTGAGAAATTAACAATTAAAATATGAATATCACAATAATCTAAAAACAAACTAAAAGCGATCATCTAGTAGTTTTCACCGGTATTTTAAGTTAAAATAGTGCACTGGTCAATAATTAATAGTATAAATTTTAGGTACATTCAGCATTTATAGGTATGTACTTAAGATTGATGGAAATGCTTTTAGTAGTTCGTTCTTCGTTACACTTTTTTAGGGTTCTGTACCTCAAAAGGAAAAAACGGAACCCTTATAGGATCACTTTGTTCTCCGTCTGTCTGTCTGTCTGTCAAGGCCCTTTTTATCAGGAACGCGTGGAGGTATCAAGCTGAAGTTCATATGAAATACTCAAGTCTACTGTCCCTTGGAGGTGTGAAAAAATCAAACTTCTAAGCCAACGCAATCAAAAGATACAGCCGTGTATGCCGCAAATTTTCGACATTCGCAAGGGAATCAGGGAATCAAAACCTACAGGGTACTTCCCGTGAACTCAGAATCTTAAAATTTGGTATGAAGCAACGTATTGTAGCACAGATAAAGGAAAAATTGCGAAAAGCATAAATTTTTAGTTACATCATATAATAAAAATATTTTTAATAATTTTAAACTACGGATTTGTGCGGAACCCTCGGAGCGCGAGTCCGACTCGCACTTGGCCGGTTTTTTTTAATATTACATTAGCCAGAATACGAATATCAAAACAACACTTTTTTTAAATTTCATGATTTCGGTTAGATTTTCATTAAATATTTAGGCCGTTTATTATAATAAATTGGTATCCTTTTTATGTGTAATAAAATGAACTTACGTTAAAATTTCTAGTGGGCTCAAAAACGATTGTCTTTTTATATATAATTCTAAAATACCAACGTGTAATGAAATAAAAACTATTTATTTTCCTATTTAAAAAATAAAGATTAGGTTTGTCTAAGGACAATATATTTGTTTAATCTACTACAGTTTCAAAATTAATTGGTCAGCCTGGAGACGAAACGGTGAAAAAAACTTCGCAGGTATTCCTCTTTTTTTGTTATTTTCTTAAATGCCAATGACGCGATATTGTTTACCACAGATTAAAAGAATAGACCCATAACTTATTGAAGCATGCACCATAAAGCTCTAATTATATTGAATATCTGAGCAAGCAGTCACCACCCGATCACAAGTACGACGCATGAGGTAACCATAGCCCTCCTAAACGATTTTAAAAGAAAATAGTCTGTACATGTACATATATGTCCCGTCTCCATATATGTAACCTTTCTATATGTATTTTTAACAGCGAAATCAATCAACTCACGTCGGCATATTAGGTACATATAAATAGAGCCGTATATAATGGACTAGTTCGACGGTTGGGCGATTGCTTTAAATTTAATAGTACGCGAGCAAACAGTGTTCGATCCTTGCCCGCATCATTAAAATTGTTGGCTTAGCTTTCCATAGACTCCCGTCGAGTTGGGGGTTGGTACGTATTTTTACAGAAAAGTTACACTATTATAAGCACACACACAAAGTTACAACATGCGGAAAGGCAAAATTTTTGAGAAAAAAGTTATTGAAAATCAATTATTCTTGCATTGTTTATGTCCTACAATAAAACTGACGCCATTTTTTTATTGTTATTGTCAGTAGCGATGTCGATTCTTTCCGAAAAATATCGATTTTTTAAATAGATTCGAATTGTAAGCTGATGTATCGATTCCCAAAAAATCGATTTCTAAAATATCTATATTTTTTATGTTTGCATTTATAATATAAATATAATTCCATTTTATGAAAAACAAGAAAGATACCATAAATGATCTCTTATTGAATTTTGTTTTATTTTAACAGTACCAATTAGGGCAGATAACAAATAAAATAGGTTAGGTTCAACTTATGTCAAAGAACCGAATTGATTGACCCCGACTCCACCTGGTACGAGTCTGTCCTACCCCTAGAGTGGTTTTAAAGAGCCGGAGACGTAGCAGTCTCAAAATAGATACAAAAATCCTTCTGAATCAGTCCCCCTATATTTTATGATGAAGGGGACTTTTTTCTCATAAAATGGTTTTATATTTACATTATAAATGCAAACATGAAAAAAATATAGATATTTTAGAAATCGATTTTTTGGGAATCGATACATCAGCTTACAATTCGAATCTATTTAAAAAATCGATATTTTTCGGAAAGAATCGACATCACTACTGACAATAACAATAAAAAAATGGCGTCAGTTTTATTGTAGGACATAAACAATGCAAGAATAATTGATTTTCAATAACTTTTTTCTCAAAAATTACGCGCTTCCGCATATTGTAACTTTGTGTGTGTGCTTATAATAGTGTAACTTTTCTGTAAAAATACGTATCAACCCCCAACTCGATGGGAGTCAATGGAAAGTAATACCAAATTGTTAATCACTATTTTAAATGCTATTTGATATAATATATTTTGTCTAAATATAAAAAATCAAGTTCATGTAAAGTCTAAAAACATGCATCGGACTCTCCTGTTCAAAAACACTCGCAGTAACTAAAAGCTCAGTAGTTGGACCTCTGTTATTTTATTTGTTTTTACATATAGGAAAGGTAAATAAAGTTTGTACAGTTCAGGTACGTGTACAACTAAAATATCTCAAATGATATGAAGAAAGCAGAAGTAAATATTATTATGTAAAATTAAACAAAAATCTAACATATAAATATATAAATCTAATATATTATATTATAACATATTTATAATATAACCTGTTTGCTTCATGATGTCTTTTCTAATCATAAGTTACAATTATACGTTGCAAACGTTCATACCTTTGAAAATTGCCTAGATTTTGTCACATTTGCCCAACTTTTTGTGAGGGTACAAATGTGACGTCTTGATTATTCTTAAGGCCGGCCACATACATACGGAATTCCGTTTCGAGATTCCGTTTCGATATTCCGATTCGGAATCCCTAACGCAGCAAGTACATATAAAATCTATGACCCGCCACACACGTACGGTAGTTTTCCGTTCGATATTTTGCGGGCAAAACGGGATTCCGTTTGTGTGTGGCCGGCCGTTCGAAATTCCGAAACGGAATTCCGTATGTATATGGCGGGCCTAAAGCAATGTAGAGTTCGTAAGTTAAAACTTACGTACTGCACGCACTTTACTCTCAAATAAGTATTTAATATTACTTTTACTTTCAGCAGAGATAGCAATTAGTCATTTTTATTTTCACATTTTTTAAATTAAATTTTGACGTGATTCCCACACGTATTATTAAATGGCGTCATAGATTAATGATAAGTCATCGCGCGCTTTGACTAGATACCGCCGGCGCTCATGTAAAATGCGCAACAAATACTACGCCGAAATCGGCGTACTCGAGCCAGTCGCGTTGCAGGCAACGTGAGAGGTGAACGTACCGAATGTTTTATTAAATTTTGATCATAATCCGAAGTAAAATACCAGTTTACGTATTGAAACGGTGTAAAAATAATACTACAAGAAATAAGAAAGACACTGGAATCACATACTATCATTAAGTATAATACAATTTCGAAATTTTAACATAAAATAACACGAGAGCCATAAATAAGTCACAAAATGTCAATGACGCTATTCAGTGTTGCCGCGAATGCAAAAATAAAGTTCCCCGTGGCTGAGATTTTTATATGTGAATTTATTGTTACTATATTTTATAATATAATATATTAAACTTATTATAATATAACCTAATTCTATATTATTTAATGTTTATTTCTGTAGTATTGCTCAAATGACATAATTGCCATTTATTAGGGTTCCGTACCCAAAGAATATCAACGGGACCCAAGTCTCAACTATCGTTCCGTCTGTCTGTCAGTAGGCTGTATCTTATGAACCGTAATATGTAGATACTTGGAATTTTCATAGAATGTGTATTTATATTGCTGCTATAACAACATAAAATAAAAAAGAAAACAAGTAAAATATTAAAGGACCCAAAAAAATCACGTTTCTTGTATGAAGACCATACAAGAAACGTGATTTTTTTCTGTATGTGATATGTGTTTTGTTTACAGACTAAAGCGAAACCTGGATTAACACGCAATAAAATGATGCTGTGTGTATGGTGGTATTGAAAGTTTATCATGAGCTTTTACCGCCGGGTAAAACCATCGATTCGGATCTCTACTACCAATAAATAATGAGACAAGCAAGAAATAGAAAAAGAAACGTCTGGCATTTATAATCAGAAAAGGAGTGGTCTTTCATTATGATAACGCCAGATCACAAGATAAGTTATCTGTTTGAGATCTTCCAGATAAATTTCATAAGCTTGCGGGTTGTAATGTATGGGTAACATTCCTAAAAATCCAGTATTTGCTTGAGTACTTAAAACTGGTTTAAAAGTTTTAGTCATTATTTGCTTTTGTTGCTTGTGTTCTTTAAAAGAAAGCTTTCTGGAGGTTTTAATATTTAAGTTTATAATTTTTTTTTTTTATTATAAATGGGATGACTAAATCCATGTTCCTTCAAATCTCTTGTATTGAATATATCAAATAAAACTACTTGTCGCATTTTTTTAATCAAAATCCCAAGATTTCTACAGCAACGTTTATTTTTTATTATTTCACTACCTACAAAATGGTAACAAATTATCGAACAGAATGGACCCATATATATTATAATTAAATGTAATAAAACAAAAACGTCTTAAATTTGTATACAATATACGAAGAAACTTTTTCCCCAGTCTTATATACTAACTAAAGGTGTAACAAAATAATACTTAATAACTTAGGGAATGATTCTGCCCGTCAACGTGAATATTTTTTATTATGGGATTATCTTCGAAATTTTCAATTTATACGTGATAGACCCATACTGCAGCTATATTACTGGTATAGTTGTAGCACGAATAGTTCAGCTCGTCCGGGGACGGACCACGCTCTCACAGAATATCAGTGTAAAATAGGAGCTTAACGCTGCTGTTTCCTATGGTGAGTGTAGAGAACCGGAGACCCTTTTTACTGGAAAAGGGTCATTTCATCTTAGTCCTCACGGGTGACAACGCATCTGCATTTTGATTCTTAACCTAGGATAGATGTATATGTCTATGGGCCACAGCAACCACTTACAATCAGGTGGACTGAGTGCTCGTTTGTCACCCTGATCCTATAAAAAATATCTCAATGTCAGTTATTCCATACAAAATTTCGTACAAACTTGCTCAAAATGTATGGAAGACCTAATTTTTCTTGCGATTAGGAAGATAGATCTATAATAAAAGTTGTTCATATTGACGCGTAGAATAGAAAGCCCTATTTTGATTACACCATATATATAACTATAATTTGTGAATATTAGTTAGACATGTAAATAAAAAATTAAACTGATATAAAGGAGTCCTTATCATTTATATGTCATTTATTCAGAAGAAAAACCTATACATAATAAACACAAATATATTGATACATTCGTTATTAATAAACTATTCATTTTTAAGTATTTCTGGAATACATTCATAACTATGAACTTAACTACTAAGCCATAGCATAAAATAAAATTTCCCATTAATCGGGTAATAGTTAAGCTGCTGGCATATACAATTTTTCACGCACACTAGCATCATGCAAATTGTCTTATACACACTACAATATTAAGATGCCGCACTCACGGAGCTGTTACTTGCATGGAGCGCGGTATCTAGTCAGAGCGCGCGATGACTTATCATTAATCTATGCATGGCGTTATGAACAGTTTTGTGTGTCATTGCAACAGGTATTTGTACAGGAACGAAACCCGCGAAATTATCTGCGTAATCTCAAACGATGATGAAAAAGAATTTTTACAGAGAAAATTCTATTTCGTTTGATGTATCCTTGGCAACTTTAAATAATCTACTACTGGACATGACATTTTTCAAAGTTAAAAGCAATATGTCAATATCCATTGAGTTATATGTACTACGTACTAGAGAAGCCATTCCGAACATTGACTATGTCCAACTGAACTGTAGTGCAATCCATACAAACTAAATATTGCGTAAATTGAAGATTTGTGAATTCCATAAAATAATTATTATTACATTTTATTTAGAAATATGTTTGTTTAGATTAAATTAAGATATTTTATATTAAATTCTTATATTAATTTTATATTAATACCTTATTTTATATTAAATTAAAGTCTTCGCGCATGCGCGACTACTACGCCCGCGCATGCGCGAAGGCATAGAGTAGGACACAATTTTTGTTTGGAATGGCTTCTCTAGTACGTAGTACATATAACTCAATGTCAATATCGCATGGTCGTGAATGTCAGTATAATTGGAAAGTGCGAATTAACTTTTTTTGGCTGAGAACTTTGGTGAGAATCGTTTATCGATGGAAATCACACTGCACTGTGTCATGATTTTCGATATGATAATCTTTTATAAGCTAAAATAAGATATCTGCTTATAATCGATACTAATATGTTTACGTGTGTAATTTAATCCGTAATCTAATTCATTAATACCTTGTGTAATGGTGGGACTTCATGAAGCTCTTGTCACAATGTTTGCAGGGATAAGGTCTTTCGCCTGCATGCGAACGCACGTGTCGTGCTAGTTTAGTAAGCGACGTAAATTCTGTAGAAAAGATAAAATATTAAACAATGTCATTTGCCATTTTTTTGTTGTTTATTATTTACATTATACGTTTTTAACTAGCGCATGTTCATAGCTTATATTTTTTAACATAATGGATAAATGACAAATTTTCCTGTAGGACTCACGCTGAGGACAGTATTCACAGGAAAAATCTGGATTTCTGCAGCGCACAAATGCCTTATGTCTTTCCAGAGCTGCCTTATCACTATACCTGGAGAAAAAATCAAATTGCTAATATAAAAACAATATTTATTTTTATTAACATAAAAGTAAAAGTATTATAGCTGAACACGGCCAGTTCCTATCATTTCTAATCAACGAATTTAAAAACATAATCTTAAGTTAAAGATAAGACCTGTAGACTTTTTGAATGAAAAGCTTACTTATTGTAGTTGAAATCTTAACTTAAAGATAGAGAAAGAAAGTAGGCTACAGGTGTGTTGTCTCTGAGGACTATGATTTTTTTTTTTGGAAATTTTTCTGCCTAAGTTTTTATTGATCACATATAACGTGAAAATAAAAACAATTCCGACGAAATTTTTAAAAGTACATTAGATGTCACGTGGAGTATGTACGTATTTGTGTGTAATGTATATTTTTGCTAGAGCAGTGCGAATCGGCTCGCTCGATTAAATTTTATGTTTTCAGAAATCAACTTAAAGTATTTATTAAGTACAAGAAAGAAGTCTTATCTACTACTAAGAATGTATTCGCCAAAGTAACAAATGTATAGTGTAAAGTTACAGTTTATATATATCCCAGAACTGAGCAGTTTTTTTGTTTCATTTCTGAGTGTTTTAGAATAAGATATAGTCCTCTGCCCTCTCCCAATATTGTTGGCGAATGACTCATGTTCGTCAAAGTAGCAGTTCAAATTGCGATTTACAATATGGGCGGAGCCGGCGAGAGTCGAAGGCAACCGGAACACATAATCAAGTCATGCCATTTTTAAGTGTTCTTAAAAATTTGCTTACATGCATTTAGTATATCGAAGAAGCCTACTTATCTGCGTTACGTAGAAACTATACAAATGCAATGTTTAATACCAAAATACTTTTTATTAAATAATAATTTACGTTCGAAGCTAAACAGTAGTAGTACCTCTCTGGCATACATAAATTAGTGAAACGAATGTAACCACAGCTAAAATATGTATTAGTTTTTGCTATATTAGTAGTATAATTGTAGCACGAATGGGTCGGCTCGACCGGGGAAGGGCCACACTCTCACAGAAAACCAGCATAAAATAGCAGCTTAACGAAACACTCTCATTCTCTACACTCATCATACGAAACACAGTGAGAAGCGTTAAGCTGGTGTGTGTAGAGAACCGGAGACCCCTTTTAGTGGTAAAGAGGCATTCCATCTTAGTTCTCACGGGTGACAATGCATCTGCATCTTGAGTCTTTATTGAGGATAGATGTAGATGTCTATGGGTCACAGTAACCACATACCATCAGGTGGACTGTATGCTCGTTTGTCACCCAATCCTATAAAAAAAAAGTTGTTAACAAAAATATAGGAAAAGCTATCTGAACACAATTTAAGGTAGTACAACCCAACTAAACAATGTTAATGTTTAAAATATGGGTTGTATGAATTAGTAATCTAAATCAATGTTGTTAACCAAGCAAGATAATCATTGGGGTAACTCTTTTTCTACTTTCAATATGTGCCTACATCAGACAAAAAATGTATTGATAATAAAGAGCAAATGGTGGAACTAAAAATCCGATCAGTTCATTTAAGATAACATTGTTGCCATTACAGCCTATTAAAGTTTACTGCTGAATATAGGCCTCCCCCATAGATTGCCTGGACATTTGCGTTGCCACGCTTGGTAATCGCAGTTTTTTATTTTAGTCATTATTAAGAAGACAGCTGCCCACCTCCTGATTTGTTTCTTTCTGTCGCCTCCTACGACACCTAAGGGATGATATGGGGTAGTGAAATACTTTCTCCACCAATACATGTTATAACATAACACATCATTCTAAATTATATGTGTACAAAGTTGCCAGCACTGTTGTTAAAAATAAATAAATTATTGAAACAACAGCAACACACTCCTTCTTGTTGTATTCTACATACTATCTTACTTTTTGCCACATGCACATCCAAAACGTTTTCTAGGCTCGTAGGTATGCTTTTGTTGGTGAGCTTCTAGTTCCTCTACACTTAAGAAAGTTGCTGGGCATTTGGCGCAAGCTTGCTGTGGTAAATCAGAATGTACTATCTGAAAATTTGGGTAATATAAGATAGAATATAATAAATATTAATATATACAAGAAACATATTTTATCATTTACAAAATACCTTTTCATGACGCTTTAGCAAAATAAGACGTTTAAACTTTTTGTCACATGCAACACACTGGAATGGCATTTCATCCGAATGGCGCAGTTGATGAGTACCCAAATCATATTTAGTAAAGAATTTGCTGAAAAAATCATTTCATTACTTTTCTAAATGACAGAAATCTGATAATTATTTATTTTAAATATTACTTACGCATCACACTGGTCACATGGGAAAGTTCTCTCTCTGTGTTTTTGCTTTTTATGTAATTCTAAAAGTTGCTGAAGGGGATAGGTACGTTCACATTCATTGCACGGCCAGCAACCATCTTCTAAACCCCCCGATTCATTCTGCTTAAGTATTTTATCCTTGGGCTCTATAATATTGCTATCTGAGCATATCACAGATTAAATGATGTGTATGCAATTTTGACTTACCACAACACACTTAAAAAATAATAAGAGCATATATAATGAACTCATAATTTCTAAACAATCCTGATACATGCACTATTAGACATTCTCAGTTGTGATTATAAATGAGCCTTCAACTTCTACTTTGATACTTTAGTTTCTCTTATCAACACTTCTTTTAACTGCTTCAAATAAGTTCATAAAAATGGAAAAAAACATGCATTTGACTCACAATAACAAAAAGAAATAAAATGCATTACTCAAGATTTATTTACAATTATTTAGAACACAACTTTTTTAAAACGGTATAATACATAAATACTGAAATAATTACAAGAAGCTATGAACACACGCACATTTAATATAATATTTAATTTTAAATAAAACTGCAAATTATAACTATGTATTAATAAAATCAAAATTATTATAACTTTAGAAACTTACCTTTGTTATCCTGTCTCTGGAAATTTTTAGGACTATTTTGATTGTCTTTGCTGGTCACTACTTTTATGCAAGTTGAAACAGCCTTGGACCCCTCATCAAAACCATCAGCAATCTGTAATCATTGAAATGCTTGTTAATATAAGCTTCAATTTTGAATTATTTGATACTAAGTGGGTACTGTGGCCTATAGACATATGTTTATTATTGATACATTGTTGTATGTGTGTGTGTATATAATTGTATGTTTTTTTTTATAGAAATAGGGTGGCAAACGAGCACACAGTCCACCTGATGGTAAGCGGTTGCTGTGACCCATAGACATCTACATCTATCTTTGTTTGCGAATCAAAATGCAGTTGTGTTCTCACCCTTGAGGACTAAGGGAGAATGCTTTGTTTCCAGTAAAAAGTGCCTTTAGTTCTCTACATTCACCATACTGGTATCTGTATCTGTACTGGTATTCTGTGAGTGTGGTCTTTCTTTGACCAAACCAACCTGTTTGTGCTACAATCATAATATAGCTGCAGCATGGCTCTACCGCATTTAAACCTATCCTTTTACCTATCCCTATACCTGCCCCCATGCTGCTTGGCAGCTGGTCCAGTCTTAAGGGTATAGAAAGCTAGTATAGTTACAGGCTGAGAGACATTCCACCTAAGTCCTCAGCGGTGACAGCAGATATGTAGCTTTCTTTGTTTAAAGTTGGTTGCAGGTGTCCATGGGCCGTAGTAGCCACTTAACAACAGTGAACTGCTAGTTCACTTGTAATTTCGATTTTATAAAAAAGGAATATAAATTTGTATTATATTTCAATTTGATTTACTAATCAAGTTGTACCGTTACATTGAAAACATTTTCCTCCTCTTCATAATCACTGTCGGAGACATCCTGTGTACTGACCTGCACTGTGGCACCCCCCTCAACTACAGTTTTTACTACCTCATTTTTCACTGAATTTTGATATGCCTAAAATATGATAACAATTATTGATATTACATGACATTGGTTAGTACATACTGTAAATAAATCACAAATAATATTATTACTTGAATGAGAGAAGGAGGCCAAGGAACAGATTCCAAGGGTGTACCATTCTGAATGTATTGTAATATATTCTCATCAGATTGACGACAGATCTGCTTGTATTTATAAAAGAGATCCATAAAAAATCTGCAATGATTGCATATAAAAGATGGCATTTTGTCTGAGGGGAAGACCTGAAAATAACACATAGTACTTAGATATATAAACCAACAGTAAGCAAAAATAATCAATTTTAATTCGCTAGGTGGCGCTTATTGTAATAATAACAGTAGTGGAGAATTAAAGGTGTGATCATTTAAGACTTGCGTTATATCTTTTTGTTATTATTTTAATTGACTACAATTTTCTCCTTTGAAAATATCAAATAAATGAAATAAATACATAAGTAAGATACAAAACTACTGTAAATATTTCTTTGTTTTATCAATTTAGTCCGGTTCGGCGCCATTATGCCAAGCTAGTAGACAAGAACCGCTTTCTATTATAGGTGGCGTCCATTTAGTAAATATGTTAATAAAAGCAATTTTAAGGCACTAAAACTAAAAAAATATGTTTATAATGAATAATTACCTCAATTGAAACGCATGATAAGATTTTTAAAGGAAGATCGACAGAATTCTTTGGTGTATGATGCCTGTCATACAGGCTCCCCAGCGATTCATTTTGTGTCAAACAAAACCTACACAGTTTTAGTGCACTTAAAGATTCTTTCCTTTTCTCCATTATGAAAAAGGAATAATTGAAAACACTTTAACTATATTTTTATAACAACATAACCTCTACTCACGAAATTGACAGATATCAGATACTAAAGCTAAACTAAACTAAAAAAAATGACACTAGCGCCACGCTTTACTTAACGGAAGCGGTGCAAAAACTTACAGCGCTCCATGTGGACAAAAGCGGAATCAACGAAATACAAAATTACAAAAATAATTGGTACATCATACAGCTATGTACATACGTACCTAAATTAAGACCTTTATGGAATCCTCACGCTAAATTATGTAGGTATATAACATTATTAATTATACTTTTCTTTTTTACTTCTTTTTTAAAGGTGGTTTTTTGAGTTATCTCTTGAGTGGACTACGGAGTTAAGGCTACAATATAATGCTTAATTACATGCAACATAAATTTTATCTACTATTTTTAAACCCTTAGGAGTGGAATTTTTCTTAAAATTTAAAAGTTGAGTTAATGCTTGGGGTACCGCCTATTTACTGAAAATAAAAATAAATACACACTTCAGAAAAAAATATCTAGTGTTAAATTAAGAACCCTCCTTTTTTGAAGTCGGGTTGGAAAATCGAGAGGAATTATGCAGGAGGGATTTTGGCAATTTCATCAGAAATAAGTAAAAAAAAACGGAGTTAAGCAGGAAATACCTACCTAAATAATTGACAACAATAACTATCTTATTATCTACGTGGTAGAGCCATGCTGCAGCTATATTATGGTTGTAGCACAAATGGGTCGGCTCGAACGGGGAAGGACCACGCTCTCACAGAAAACCAGCGTAAAATAGCAGCTTAACGCTGCTGTGTTTCGTATGGTGAGTGTAGAGAACCGGAGACCCTTTTTACTGGCAAAGAGGCATTCCATCTTAGTCCTCACGGGTGACAACGCATCTGCATCTTGAGTCTTTATTGAGGATAGATGTAGATGTCTATGGGTCACAGTAACCACTTACCATCAGGTGGACTGTGTGCTCGTTTGTCACCCGATCCTATAAAAAAAAAACTATATTACTTTTATATTACAATACTAGATTATAAAGTAATTTTGAAACAAATCTGGCTTGCAATTGGAAGGCTTTTAGGTCAGCTTTGCGTAGTGTGTTAGGTCGTCTTGACTCTTGAATACCTAATATTTAAAAGCAGAAAGTAGGTGCAATATGTATAAAATACAAATTTTTGTATTTTCTATTCCATTAGGTTATTTTTTGATTGTACTAATATAATAGAAAAAACTAAACATTTTAATAGTAAAATACCTACTAACATTTAAGAATATCAACAGATAAGTTTTAAAATTACTTTTATTGCAGGTCTATAGCAAAACCGGATTTCAAGTTTTCCCTCACCAATTTTGTTCCCAAAATGCTATAAAAAACATCAAAATCTTAATTGATGTTATGATGTTGTGAGGGCCTAGAAGGCAATGCTTTTTTATTTTGTTTTTATAGTGAATACTCTCGTATAATAGTCGACGTTTTATATGGTTTTCATTGTTTTGGGCTTTAGTTACGTATAGTTAAATATTCTGCAGTTTAGTGTAAACTGTAGTCATGGTCATATCGGACGACGCGACGAGCGCCTGTATTTTCAGTATATATAAAGGTGTGTGGCCTGTATCTTTTACCTATACAGGAAAGAAATCTGATTATTTACAATATTGCCGAAATTTTAATTTATAATTAGGGCGCAATATGCATTATTGTAAGATGTTAATAGCGAAATGATTGCATTCGCCCTAATATAAATTAAATTAATCTTGGTTTGGGATTGGCTACTATATTAGTCACATGCTTACTTACAACTATGACCAGCACAGAACACTGTTTCTAACCGATGTAAATAACCTGAGTATACAATAATTTTCGTAATACGTAATAATATTATGTTGATCATGAATATCCTACCGTTATCGATACCCAGTGGCATAGCTATATAGCCAAGGGCCCCGGGACAAAAATGTAATTGGGGCCCTATTCAAACTAAACTACTAACTTACTACTAAGTGCCTATTATGTGTAACGCATATATATAAATAATGACGAAGTAGATTACAGTTAATAATATAGGCAGACAACATAACAGTGGCAGAGCCATACAGCAGCTTTTCTGTCGCACGGGTGGGCCAGACTAGATGAAGTGACGAGCTGGTAAGACATGACATGAAGAGCAGTAATGAATGAATGTAATGAATGGGTGGACTGGCTCAAACCGAGGAGGTACCACGACCTTACAGAAAACCAGCGTGAAGTAGAAGTTTACTTCGCCTGGTAAGTGCAGGTGGTCGGAAGCCTAACCCTTCTCCCCCTTAACATGGTAGTGTAATTAAATAAGCAATGCTGGTACCCTCCCAGGAGTGTAGGTAGTAGAAATTCCGCTCAAGACTAATACTGCTTGTGGCAAGTAGAGCAATAAGACAGAGGTGACCCCTGCCTCTGAAGACGGCGAAGACGACCTTGCTCTTTCTAACCGAGACACAGGTATCCTCTCCAGTCAACACTTTTCTCCTATCCGGGGTACCTTTGTGCCTCAGGCTGGAGTTTGCGTATACGTCAGAGAGGACATCTGTTCTCGACGCCTCGGCAGTTGTCAAGGTCAGTGACGGTCACTTCTGATCTACGGGTGACTCTATAGGTAATGCCGACACAGATCACCAAATAAAAAAAGGGTTGCTCAGCTGGTGATCTTCTGGCTTACCTAACTCATAAATCGGCGGAACCAGAGAGGGAGATCCTGGCTGTTAGTTTAGACATAGCGAAGCCCTTTGATCGGGTTTGGCACAAAGTGTTTCTTTCGATGTTCCCTTCCTATGGGCTTCCCGAGAACTTGTGCAACGAGATCAGCAATTTTTCTTGCAGATTGGAGCAACAAAGTCGTAGTAGAAGGTGCATGCTCCATTTACAAGCCTATTTATGCTGGTGTTCCACAAGTCTACGTGCTATTACCTACGCTGTTTCTTCTGCTTATCAATAATATGTTACAAGATAGTAACGTGCACTGGTGATGCTTATACACCGGCTGTGCCTTTATTTCTCGGAAAAACGTCGCCGAATACCTGAACAAACTTGTGTCTGAAGTCGAGTCATTGCCGGAAAAGGTTTTAGTTTTATTTAGTAGCCCCAATCCTCGGATCCTAGTAAATTAGGCAGCACTACTGCCACTTTTTTTTTCGAGTTTTCTTTTCTACGAGTTTTCTTCCTCGCACGACTTTTTTGTGGAATCGTTTACCACCGGTGATTTTTCCGGACTGATACGACTTAGGGACCTACAATAAACGAGCTTACTCCTTTTTTTAAAAGTCGGCAACGCGTATACAATTCCCCTGGTGTTGTATTTGTTAATAGGCAGTCGTCGACACTTGCCATCAGGTGAGCCGCATGTTCGTTTGTCCCCCTCTTTTATATAAAAAAGACAATAAAACGAAGTAGAAAATTATCTTTAACAACGTTAAATTTATGTTCTGGAAGTGGGAGTAATTTTTTATTTATTTCAGTTCGAACCGTTCGCGGTCAGGAGCCAGAAAATTAAATCTTGAAAATTCGGAAAACTAGGATAGTACCCAATTTTTCGAACGTAGACCGTGGAGGCCGAGGGACCTCTTTAGCTTGGGGGCCCCCGGGCTCTGCTCCGCCTAGCCCCTGGGTAGCTACGCTACTGCCGATACCATCTTAGCCTCATAAGTCCACTGCTGACCTCCCCCACATAAACACATAGGCGTAGACATAGGCTTCCCCCATAGATTGCCTTATAGCGGGGATATTTGCCATAGTTGCCACGCTTGGAGAGCGGTTTGGTAACAGTAGTTTTTTATTTTTATTCGTTATTCGGAAGACGCTGCTGTCCATCTCCTGATTTGTTTCCCTTTGTCGCCTCTTACGACACCCACGGGATGATATGGGGTAGTGGATATTCTTACACTGCCACTACACGGTAAATGAATAAATATCCTAGTCCAAGTCAGTTTAAAATACTGTTATTGTTACTGTATAAAACGTAAGTGAAAACATTATGTCACATACTCGTATAATTACTCAATAATTATTTATCTATTTTACCCAAACTATTTAAATATCCCGAATATACTATAAGTATTATAAGGCATTTTTAATTTATTAAATTACTTTTACCTTCTACTTTACGATTTTTTTATAGTATAGGGTGACAAACGAGCACACAGTCCACCTGATGGTAAGTGGTTGATTTGATCGATAACAACATTTTAGTCATGAATGATGTTATCGTAGGTCCAGTAGTCGTAAGCGCGGTTGCTAATCCAGTAGGTAATCTTGGGTTCGAATCTTTACTAGAGTTTGCACATCTTACTACTGATAATATTGACGGCTCCGTGGCGCAGTGGCTTAACAATGAGTTGATGCGCTGGGGGCCGCGGGTTCGAATCCCGCACGGAACATGTATTTGTATGGCCTATAAATAATTGTTCCGGGTCTGGATGTTTGTCCTCGTGCAATCTATGTTTGTAAACTGCCTCCACAATACAGGAGAAAATCCTAGTGTGGGGGTAACGTTTTTAAAATAAAATAAAAAAATATTGGTAGATGACAAACTCACTTGGAAACTGCAGATTGATCTTGTTAAATCAAAATTGTTGTCATTACTAGGTGCATTACGTATAGTCGCAAACCGTATTCCGAAAAAGGTACATACAATTATTATATACAACTCTTTGGTTAAATCAAATATCAAATATCTAAGTGAGATATGGGGATCAGCCGCCAAAACTAATCTAAATCCACTTCAAATAACCTAGAATAAAATTATCAAAACATTATTCCAATATCATTATCTAATTTCAACAAAAGTATACTATACGAAAAAACTAATTTACTTAATCTTACACAACTATACACTTATTGCACTTGTAATATCAATCAAACATACAGTTACATAAAAAACAACACACAACTTAAGAAATAAAAATAAACTCCTACTAATGACTGCACGAACTAATTATGACAAAAAATAAACACCATTGTTGAACAGCAGTGCGTTCAATAAATTACCTGATGACATAAAAAACTGCAATAACATGAAATTATTTAAAAGTAAACTTAGGAAATATATACTAACTACGAAATACATACTACAGTGTAATATTTAAAATACCTAGGTATAATATGTATATTGTGTGAATAACCTAAGACTGTATTGCTTCCAACACTAGAGGTAGAAGAGATAACCATAATATAATAATTAAGTACTTTGTAGCACATTATAAGCAAACCATTATATTATGTTCACAGGAGAAATAAAATTCTTTAGACGTAAACGGAAACCGAAATACCTAAAACTTGCATGATAGATTTTGTCAATGAAGTTTAGCTACTGACCAATGGATGTCACTGCCATCAATTTACATATACAATATTGGCAAAAAACAAACAAACCGCCGGTCATAGATTACTGTATATATACTAGCCGCCGGTACCCGGTATAATAATGCAGGTTGTTTTCAGATAGTTTCAGTCCCTAAGAATTTTTAACTTTTATTTTCTTTGTTCTTGTCGAACAAGAAGATGTGAGTAATAATATTGTTCTGTGCTTCTCAAGCCGAGGATGCCTCCGATAGGAGGCGGCTTAACTATATATTACTTAGTTTGTAATAAGATATCTAAAACAGATAAGCATATAGATTAGATATTAAGTGCATTTAAAAGATACATATAGATATAGATTAGATATTAAATGCATCAGTTAGGTAATTATAATAATTATTTAATTTATAGATTTGTGAATGAAAAAAATTATGTCACATTTGCATTTTAATAGATGGCGCTGTTTTAAAAATAGGTTAGGTGCAGGCTCTGTGCATTATAATAGCTCCAAGCAGCAGATTTTAGGGGACGGCATTTTAAGTAACAAAGGTCAGCTCATCGCCGATGTCAGGGAAAATCACAGTAAATCAAAAAATAGCTATTAGTGAATGCTTTTGATTAAAGCATAATGAACACTGTAGCATTTAAAGGTTCTGAAAATAGAAATAATCTACATACACACACAATGCCAAGCGTATGGTAGATATGAATGGCATTTTCGGCTCGAGCCGCTACAGACGGCAGAAGCTACGCCTGCTCATAATCCTACCAGTTTGCATTGTTGCAGTAAATAAAAGCCTATATTATGTTGCCCTGTATATAAGAAGTATTGTATGGAAGAAGACTAACTTCATCCATGCCGGCCCCGCCTCGGGAGAGGACAACGTCTTCCCCATATCTTTCTCAGGTAAGGCGTGCCAGAACATATGGTGCGCCTTCCTCCGCGGCCTCCAACTTCATCTGCGCAACGGACGCCCCCGTGCCCGATGCGCGAACGCCATGGGGGCCAGGAAAACCGAGTACTCAGGGACACTAGTCTTTCTGACCCTAGCCGCGGATCTGGTCTATGGCTCCGCCGCCAACCAAGATTCGGCTGCGGAGGGTAGGAAGAGCGGAGCCTCGCAATACCATCACTCCTCTCCCCCCACAGCCCAACCACCTTCGCATCAACTGTGCGGCCCCGCCAGAGTCATGTAGAATAGGGCAAGTGGCGCATCGCCATACCAATACTCCTCTTCCGACTCTACCTCGCCGCAGCCCTCCAACACATATCTAAAGTGGCCACCATGGACCAGCCATGTGGGTTCCTCTTAGTTCACCGCGGGTGACCAAGCCACGGCTACTAAGCCGCCCCACCACGACAAGGCGGCAACCCGTTCGGGGGGTTTGTTCGAGTACCTACTGTGAAATTTACGGTGAACGCTTAGTCCGTGAGCTATCACGGCTATTATAGTAATTGAAGGTACCTATTTGTAATAAAGTATAGAACATCCTTTTTAGTGTTCCGTACCCAAAGGGTATTCAACGGGACATTATTACTAAGCCTCCTCAGTTCGTCCGTCCGTCCATCCGTCTGTCTGTCAGCGGGCTTGTATCTCATGATTCGTAATAGGTAGACAGTTGAAATTATCACAGAATGTGTATTTCTGTTACCGCTATTACAACAAATAATAAAAATTAAATTAAATTAGAAAATAAAAAGGGGCTCCCCTACTAGAAACGTATATTACGATGACGGAACCCTTCATGTACGCGTCCGACTCGCACTTGGCCGGTTTTTTATTTTTGTATTCAGAATGAAAATGCAGTCAAGTTTACGGGAACGTAAAATAATTTTTAAAAAAACTATTTAAAAACTATTTATTTCTAATTACAATAATTCTAATTCTAATTACTTAATTAATACGTCTTGACAGAAGTCGATGTCAAAGCGAAGTGGCCGCTCCCATGATCTCTGCCTGATATCTCATGCAACTAAAAGCGCTAACTCTACAGTTACTGGATACTGCCTAATGCTTATGCAGACAGACCCCTCTAGGTACAAACCCTAACAACCCTATGGTCTTGTGGTTTCATAACTATGTCGATACAATCGTTAAAGTGTTTTGGGAAATATAAAATTCTCGAACTTTGGGGTAGTGTCTCAAAGCGCTAAGTGTTGTGGAGGGTGCGCTTCGAAATTACGATACGTATTATACTCGTAAATGTAACGGCGCGGCGTATTGGCTTCATGATTGGCACACACTACACAGCTCTCTGCTCTACCTTCGGGTAGAAGACTGTTTGGTCTCTTGAATAAAACGAATTTTACAGATTTTATCGCATTTAATTTAACTTATCATTAATTCCCGATGTTTCGGGTGCTTTCCAGAATCTATGGTCACGGAAAGGAAGGATTATTATTAGTATTGCAGTGGTATGCTTGGATGTGGATTTATTATAGGATTCCAAACAGATGGTAACACCCAGTTATCTTCTATGTTGAAATTCGGATGTATTTTTATTTCAATAGCTTCGAAAATCATCCTTGGTAGAAATCGGTATTCTTTTGCGAGGATTTGGAAAACTTATAACATGTGATGATGATGTTGTCAATGTATTTAAAAATGACTGTTATTTCGTTAGTGTAAGTATTTAATACATAATGTTTTACAACAATAACACAAATTTTAACATAATTAGGAAAAACGAAAATTTAACATTAGGTAATAAATTTATCAAAGTATGTTATAACAATTTAGTGAAACCGTTTTTCATTAAAATTAAAATGTTTTGCACTTCTGCTTCTACGAGCCTCTTTTTCTGATATTAAATGGAGTAGGTATATTAAATTTATCCGTATTATCATACGAGCACGATTAAGAGATTTAGCTCCATTTAGGCCTAATCACATATCAAAAGTTACAAATTATATTATCGAGTTGCGAGTACATATAAATCGGTTTATCGTTATTTTTGTAATGATAAGATACCATTCACAGGGATTATTAAGATGATAATGCAAATGACAGACAATGAGCGTGTTAAATGTTATTTTGTGTAACATTTACATTGTAAGAGTATGGGTAAATATTACAATAGAATTTATAACGGATAAGTTGTTACAAAAATGAGTAGTTTTTATGACTTTACTAATTTTCGACGTTCGACAGACAATATTAATGGAGGAATAGAAAGACAACAAAACAGACAAAAACCTCTGAAGCTGTAAGTATAATTAATATTACCCATTAAGGTATCTATTAGTGTAATTAATCTTTATTCTAAAATAAAATTTTAATATATGATATTTTGGTTCTAAGCGAAATCTTATTTTGTTTTTAACCGACTAAAAAAAAAGCAGGAGATTCACAATTAGACCGTATGTTTTTGGTATGTTTACACATACAAAAAACTTTTATATAATACGTAGCAATATCTTCGTTAATTGTGAACCAATCGTATTCTTTTATTAAATAAGTTATATAACCCAATATAAGTTTGGAGACGAAATTCCGTGGCAAAATAGGGGTGAAGGTTTTAATAAAACTATTATTCTATTTAGAAACATATTCCTTAGTACATTCAAAAGGGTAAAAAATTACTTCTAACAAAAAGTAAAAGCCGACTTCAAAGAACAAAATTTTTTTATGTTTAAACATTGTAAATAAAATTAATGTAAAATTAATTAATGTAAAGTCAATTAAAAATGTTTATTAATACAAAAAAAGAACTAAAAACAATAATTTCATAATCTGAAGTTAGGGCGTTAACACCGACTTCAGAATGTGAAATTATTTTATTCATTTTAGTTTTTTTTTATAGGAGAGGGGGCAAACGAGCATGCGGCTGTTGCGGCTCACCTGATGGTAAGTGACTACCGCCGCCCATGAACAACTGCAACACCAGGGAGGGAATTGCAGATGTGTTGCCGGCATTCTAAAAAGGAGTACGCTCTTTTCTTGAAGGTCCCTAAGTCGTATCGGTCCGGAAAAATCGCTGATGGTAATCGATTCCACAAGGAAGTCGTACGAGGAAGAAAACATCTTCTAAATCGCACAGTGGTGAACCGCCAATCATCCAGATGGTGTGGATGGTATCGGGAGTTCTGCCGCGATGTGCGTTCGTGAAATTTGGCGGCTGGGATTAATCCGAACAATTCCTCAGAGCACTTCCCATGGTAGATGCGAAAGAAAATGCAAAGGGATGCAACATCTCTTCGCAGTGCCAATGAATCGAGCCAATCGGAAAGGGCTCGGTCGTCGACGATTCGAGCCGCTCTGCGCTGGATGCGGTCAAGTGGAAGGAACTGGCACTGGGGAGCCCCTGCCCAGAGATCCCAGGGAACAGTATTCCATGTGAGGCCGAGCCTGCGCCTTGTAAAGTTGCAGGCGGTGTGCCGGCATGAAATACTGTCCCGCTCTGCTGAGCACGCCAAGATTTTTAGAGGCCAATTTGGCCTTCTCTTCCAAGTGACCACAAAACTGCACGTCACTCGATATGTCGACTCCGAGGATACCGATACTGGCTGAGGCAAGAAGGGGAGTGCCTTGAAACTGAGGAGATACGACAAAGGGGTTCTTTTTAGCGGTAAACGCGCAAAATTGTGTCTTCTGAGGATTAAACAGGACTAGATTTAGTCGCCCCCAATCCGAGACTTTGTTCAGCAAAGACTCGACTTCAGACACAAGTTTGTTCCGGTACTCGGCGACGTTTTCTCGAGAAATATTGGCACGGCCGGTGTATAGAGCATCACCAGTGCTGTCATCCGCATAGCAATGAATGTTACCAGTTAGCAACATATCATTGATATGCAGAAGAAACAGCGTTGGTGATAGCACACAGCCTTGTGGAACACCAGCGTTAATAGGCTTGTAGTCAGAACATGCACCGTCTACAACGACCTTGATGCTCCGATCTGCAAGGAAGCTGGTGATCCAATTGCACAATTTCTCGGGAGGCCATAGGAAGGGAGCTTCGAAAGAAGCGCTTTGTGCCAAACCCGATCGAAGGCCTTCGCAATGTCCCGACTAACGGCCAACGCCTCCCCCTTGGACTCTACTGCCTCCGCCCATCTATGGGTCAGGTAGACCAGAAGATCACCAGCTGATCGACCCCGACGAAAACCGTATTGGCGGTCACTAATTAGCTGGTGATCCTCAAGGTACCGGATGAGCTGGCAGTTAATAATGGATTCCATTATTTTGGAGAACAAGGAGGTGATCGCGATAGGCCTATAGTTGGACGGGTCTGAGCGGTCGCCTTTTTTAGGGATCGGGTGGACAAAAGCTGTCTTCCATGAATTCGGGACTACGCCTTGGGAGTAGGAGTACCGGAAAAGACGCGTTAGGACTGGTGCAAACTCCGGAGCACACGTCCTCAGCACAATTGGGGGGATTCCGTCAGGCCCACTCGACTTCTGGATGTCCAGGGAGAGAAGTGCTTTGCGAACCGAGCGCTGTGAGAACAGCACATCCGGCATGGAGCACTCACACCGTGGGATGGTCGGCGGTGTTTTCCCCCCGTATTCAAGAGTCGAGTTGGACGCAAAAAGGGAGCCTAAAAGGTTGTCTTTTGCGTCTTGGGCCAGTGAGTCTTCCTCCCTGTGCAGAGATGGTAGTGATGGCTTACAGAAATTCCCTTGGACAGCCTTGGCGAGAGACCACAATGCACGGGTTCCCGAAGGAAGGCGAACTAGTTTCTCGCCAATTCTGCCTATGTGCTCTGACTTTGCCTTCGCAATAACTCTTTTGAAGGACCTGGAGGCGAAGTTATACTTCTTTTTAAGTGTGCTGTGAGTCGCCGAAGCCGCAGCCCAGGATTGATAACACTCCTGCTTACTGCGTAATGCAGTCTTACAGGAGCGACCAAACCAAGGCTGAGATCTGCCTCCGATGGGTACCACAGATGATGGAATAAATAGTTCCATTCCCTGTAGCACCACATCAGTGACAGAGTCAGCAACAGCGCTGGGATCATCCGGCGAGAAGCAAACCCATGGGTAGGATGCAAAGAAAGACCGCATTCCGTCCCAATCCGCCGACCTGTAATGCCAAACACGGCGGCAACCTGCAGAACGCAACCGCGAAGGGAGCGTGAGTGGCACCACACTCTGGATCAGACAATGGTCCGTAGAGCCGAGAGGGGCATCGACGGAAACCTGATATCCGGCCGGATAAAAGGTCAGCAGAAGGTCCAACAGGGAAGGTGTATGATCCTCCACATCTGGAATCCGCGTAGGCGAAGTAACCAGTTGTGTCAGACTATATGTCAAGGCAAAGTCATAAACAGATCTCCCCGCATGATCGGTTAAACGTGAACCGAGCCATTCGGCATGGTGGGCGTTAAAATCGCCAAGGATCACGATCTCTGCGGATGGGACCTGTTGTAGCAAGGAATCTGTAGCCATTTGGACGTGGTCGATGAGTGGGTCTGTTTCGGCATTACCGCTATGGGACCTATAGATGCACCCGTAGACTCGCGGATGATCGTCGCTGTCTACGCGTAGCCATAGGATGGACAGGTCCGAACCTTCAAGACTGCCGAGGCGTCGAGAACAGATGTCCTCTCTAACATACACGCAAACTCCAGCCCGAGGCACAAGGAGTGCTTCAATTTGTACCCCGGGTAGGAGAGATACGAAATATCAGACGGAGAGGAAACCTGCGTCTCGGTCAGAAAGAGCAAGGCTGGCTTCGCCGTCTCGAGATGGTAGTGGACGGCGTTTAGGTTAGAGTGAAGTCCCCTGATGTTGCAGAAATTCACGGATAGCGTGGCAGGGGTCGCCTTGGTATTGTTGCTCAGTTTGCCCCGAGCAGTTATGTTTTTGAGCGGAATTTTGCCCCCCCCCCCAGAATACGCGGGGCAGCCTTAGCACCCACGCTCAGGATCGGAATAACATGGTCGTAGATGCTCAGCGAGGGATTCTCCAGGGGTACTGGTACCCTCCTGGGGTATTCTATCGTGTAATTCCGCTACCATGTTGATGGGGGGGAATTGGGACTCCGGCCACCTCCACTCACCAGACGAAACGCAGAAGCAGAGCCTCTACTTCACGTTGGTATTCTGTGAGGTCGTGGTACCAACCCGGTTCGAGCCGGCCCATACGTGCAACAGCAAAAACTGCTGCGTGGTTCTACCACCGTTAAACAGTTATTTTAATAATGATTTTAGTTCTCAGTAGCTCACTGCCGATCATAGATCTTTTATTTTTTAATTCCTAAAACAGAACAAAAGTAGAGAATTATTCCCGTACATACCCGCAAACAAAAGAAATTGAGTGAATAAGCTAAAATTTTAAAACAGTGACATTTTTTCGTTAGAAATCATTTTAAATGTTTATTGAGTGAATTTAGTGAAGATGCTCGCCACTGCATACACAATTTCAATTATTACAGGTGGCGTTCAAGTTCTTTGGTAAATATTGTTGGCAATTCAAATAAAAAGAGTCCTGTTTATGAATCGAGTCCGATTACAGAGCGATTCAGAAAATATGGCAGCACTGAGAGTTTGAACACACTTGACGGTTTTAAGGTAAAAACTCTTAAAAAACTATAAAAATTTTCTTTGCTTGAAAATAGGAACTTTTAACATAATTCTTGGAGTTTTCGTAAAATCTTCTAGTTACAAGAAGCTTTAAAAATTTCACCATTTTAGCCATTACTACCATTACCATTTAGCCATACAAATATAAGTAGGTATTTCTTATTTTATGTATTCATAAAAAAAAAACTTTCCGAAAGCATTAGGTACAGCTGGAGGAATGTTGGGGCCTCTCTATCTCGGGTAACTTCATACAGCAGTTACAGTGGTAGTTGCGTTACTAGCCGTTTCAAAGTATTTTATTTCTATGCTGGCCCTCAAATCTAATAATCGTAATATCTTGTTTAGTAGCTAGAAGAAGCTTCTTGATATCAGTCCTATTCAGGAGTTGAATTACCACCTTATTTGTTGCTTACTTTGGTAATTGCTATTTAAGTGTTCATTTATAACGGGCTCGTCGGCGAAGAAAAACTTATAAGAAACTTGCATGTCTGAGAAATGGAATATTTCAAGAACGTAGCTGTAAATGTCTATGTGCCATAGCTATCTTTTACCATCTGGTGGACTGTTTGCTTGTTTGTCATCCTTATCCTATAAAAAACATGTGAAGTTCGCTAACACGCAGTAGAGTGGCGTACTTAGCGTACGTGGAACACTTAATTCCCTTTTTTTTTTTAGAATAGAAAGCAAATTTGGAGGCTAAAGGAGTTTGAAAGCGCCAATTGGGATACAATAGTCACTATAGTACTCGTAGCTGCCAAAGGTCTTCCTCTGCCGCCGAATGATGGTGCAGGACACGAACTATATTGCAAATTTAGGTATTTTTCTATTTTACTAATATAATACAAGTTAAAAAGTACATATTTCACACAAGATACACATTTATTTACTTTTTAATTTACGATATTAGATGTAAAATAATTTCATCCAGTCATCCTGGTTACCTATTAGGCAGATCTTCATATAGCAACGCCAAAACTGTGCACGTTGCATTGTTTCTCTGCACAAATGTTTTCTAGTTCGACTGGATTTAGATTCGTTATAAGTGATAAGGTCAGCAGGTGCCTCACCTACATAGTAGCAATTCATTGCGGAGGCATTTGTTCAGCAGGGTAATTTTCACATATGAATATCTTTATATATAAAAATTACGTGTCACGTTGTTTGTCCGCGATGAACTTCTAAACTACTGAACTGATTTCAATGAAATTTTGCATACCCTGTGCAGTTTGGTCCAACTTGAAAGATAGGATAGTTTTATCCTGATAAGTGACACTCAATATTTTTTTATTACGAATTTATTACAAAGGATTTTTTATATGAAGAGTCGTCGAAAAGGCCAGAACAACGTCTGCCTGGCCAGCTAGTATATTATATGAATTCAACAATATCTAATTGTTGTATAAAGAAAGGTACTGTTTATCCAAAAAGAGATTATTTTAATAAAGATGTTAAAAATTAATTAACTACTATCCGCGTAATAAAATAAAATAAAAATGTATATATTTATATATTGTTTAATTTTTACACGCGGTTTTTATCAAAATGTATGATAATTTAATCAAGAAATACCTACTATTTTTATCTATATCTTCCTTCCCTTTTTGAATTGATTTGTTTTTTAAATCTTCAGCTTTCCTTAAGATACTGGTTGTCTGTGAAATGATGAATTAATTAATTGTTATGTGACCTCTTTAACATGCTTATTTTGAATTTCATAAAAAAAAACGACTACTAACGAAGAACAACCTTTGCGTTAAACCTTACATATTTATAAAATTATGTAAATAATTAATAATTTAATATGGTATATACAAATTGAAAAATAATAATAATTGTAAAATATAACAAAAAAGTAATTAGATAATTAATAGAATCAGGCGTCACTTTGCGGAAATTCATTATATTAAAGTTGGAAAAATTTACTTTGCTCATATCCGCTTAATAAAATAAAATGGTGTATCTTATCTACCTAGCTTGAAGAGTCTTTTGTATCTTTTAGCGGGGCATTTTCTACTCTATTTCCCCGGATGGTTCCCGTGGCATCGTGTCGTACATGGTATGTGAGGTAAAAAATTGTCCATATAGAAGCTGTAATTACCAGATGGAAGTTTTGATATCAGATCAAGAACTACAGATCCTCTGACTCCAAGGGATGGATGTGTGTTTCCGGTGCTAGCTCTTTGATATAGTTCTCCATAAATTAGGTAACCCAATCGAGTACAACTAGCCCATGTTTTGTAGCCGAATCTTATAGGCTTACCTTATAGGCTTACGTTGTTTAGTGGGATGTTTTTCAAAGTGTAGGACCATCGACTCTTCTATACTCAAATTTCTGTCGCCTGAAAAATATTTGAGCCATCTTCGATTGAGGAGATCCCACAAAGGGCGTACCTTACAAAATCTGTCTCCTGGCTGTAGGTTAGTGTTGTCGCATGCGTGATAAAATCGCAGTAGTTCTTCAAACCTATTTCTTGACATACATGCTACTACACCAGGATGATGACAGTCAATGCTTTGCTCCCAACACATTCTGTATCGAACAACACCATACTAGCCAGATAATAATAGGATACCTATGAATCGCTTGATGTCGTCAGAATTAACTTTGAAATTGACGTGTCCTTTCTGCTTTGCATTTTGTTCTGTCTGTGACCGCAGTAGTTCGATTACCTCTTCATCATAAAGCAACTCAAAAAATCTTGCAAGAAACTTGGAGGTGTCCATTGTTTTTGTGCTTTTTGTGGGATATCCATATTTCGCCATTTCCTCGAAATCGTACGCTTACTTTGTTTTTGAGGAGGTGGGTTTCGTGAAGTGCTTGGAGTGGGCTGTTCCTCTTGGGATTCTTGCTGATGTATTTCCTCTATCCGTCCCTTTACAGATACCTTGGCTCTAAGTTCTGCTGCTGCTAATAACTGATGCCGTGACAAGCAGTTAATATCAGAGATATTCTCCATTACCACTGTCTTCGTCGCTCTTATCAAAATTTTCGGGGAATTATATACACGTTAGCTTCCAGCACATCGTCATCATCTTCTAAATACAAAATTATGTCATTTACCGTTAACCTAAAACAAAAAGCATGCAATATGTATAAGTCGGAAGATTACAACAGAGGGTTCCACTTTGTGGCCTCAGAAATATATCAGGATAGCGTTAGTTGTAAAATAATAAAAGTGTGAGAGCGGATGTTCAACTTGCTCTCTTGCTTACGCAGTTTAATCATTAACAGTAATAAGACAACGTAACGCACTATACATTCAGTATAGAGAAATTACAGTTCGACCACAGCGTAACACGTCTCCGCCACAATCACACACCAGTGTAACGTGAGGTACGTAATAACATGATAACCCCTCTCCCAGCGTCCCTCAATTGATTGAACTAGGTAGCGGTCGGCCACCGCACAGTCTATTTCACCAGATGATGCCTAGTTTAGAGACGAAACACGTGTCGTACTATTGATGGTCTGTTTTACATAGTGTAGTGGTTACGGTGAGTGGGATAGTGTACGCAATGAGCGAGGTCGGGAGATGGCCGGGAGGTACTATTTAAACCAGGTGAGATACATCATTTTATTTTATGACGCGGATATAAGTTAATTTATTTTTAACAACTTTAATATAATGAATTTCCGCAAAGTAACGCCCGATTGTATTAATTCGATTATTACGTCTAAACTCATTATCATACACGTTCAGGTAAGTTCAAGTATGTTAATTCTCACGACGAGTATTTAAATGTGTTTCTGAATCACGTTACTTTTTAAAGAAGCTTCAACATAACTGTTCTTATCTTTGACAGATTGGGGCCAGAAACGTTTAAATCTAAGTCCGTTATACATTCTCGACAACCGGAATGGCGGGAGCGATTCAATTTGCACCTGTACAAGGATAATTTATTAAAGTTGTCATTATGGGATAAAGGACGACAGAAAAATTTTATGGGCAGGTATAAAAATAATTGTTCCGTGTATTTTTCTGTGCAAATATTAATGTGTGTAACTTTTTGAAGAATCAGAAAAAGTCTAGTATTTTCTAATGTACTTTAACAGACAATGTGAAATATTGCATTCTTCATTGCAGTTCTACTACTGTTAGTGGTAGCGCAGACATTTTTTTTATTTGTGGTCATAATTCTCATAATTAAAAAAAACAATGTCATACTTTCTAAATATTTTATACAGACCTAGTCACTTGGGTAATACTACAAATTGAAAAACTGTTGTTCTCGTGAAGTGTCTCGACCAACTCTGTGTTGTAGTACCTTACACATATAATAATAATAATAATAGGAAAGGGGGGGGGGTTACATAAGGGGTACTTAAGCCAGTGCTTGACACTATCCCATCTGATTGTAAGTGTAGGTAAGTGGTAAGTAACTAAAGCCTATTTACTCTTGCTTTGACGACACCTACATTGTAATGGTAACAAAGATGGAAAGACAAATGTTGGGATGAAACAAACAGTTAGGTTCAAATGCATGGTATGTCCACAACAAAGAAGTGGAGACCAGCCGAGCGTTTGGTGGTCCGATGATGAAACGGAGAGGGATTAATCCATGCCATTGTTGCGCACACTCCCCTAAATGTAATTCTGTACAAATCGTAAAATTAAAAATTTTGTACAACCAACTTCAATATAAACTATTAAGGATAACTCAGTTGCTGTGTGGCAGCGGCCTAGAATACTGCCACTCCCTCTCATTCCGTGGATATCGTACGAGCCGATAGAGGGAAATGCCATAATAAAAGAGACCTTTAGGCTTCCGACGGATGGCGGCATAACCATCACAGTCACCGTCAGATCAAAAATGCCCAGGCCTGTGATGGGCAGCAGCATTACAGGTGCGATGTGTCTGGCACTGCGATCGCCAACGCGCTTGCCCAGCGTGACGATTAAGGCCAAATCCTCCCTTGAACAGCACCACAAAAACACGGCCGCCAGTTCCCGGTCACCCCATTATTCCTGACCGTGGTGGCGGTCATGGCGACGGTGGGGCAGGGGGGCAAAGAATCCCCGAGAGAGGACAGGTTACCACCAAAAACTGGACTTGGCGACGTATAATGGACGGACTCTGCGGCAAGACGGAAGCGTTTACGAACTGGAAGCTGAGCTGGAAAATATAAGATGGCATATTGTAGGGTTAAGTGAAGTCCGAAGACAGGGGTAGGACACACTTACCCTGCAATCAGGCCATTTGCTCTACTTTCGGGAGGGAGACGACTTTTCCCAAGGCGGAGAGGTTTCCTCGTTCACAGGATCCTCACACTAACAACATTTTAGAAATTTCCAGCGTGTCCACACGGGTAGCATACCTTGTACTGAAGTTATCAAAGAGATAGTCTCTGATTATCGGACAAGTTTATGCCCCAATCTCGGCACATTCGGTTGATGAAGTTGAAACTGTGTATGGAGATATTTCTACGACGTTACATAACAACACTAAGGCCCACTACAATGTTGTTATGGCAGATTTTAATGCCGAGGTGGGTGAGCATACGGGCGTCGAGTCGATTTTGAGACATCACGGTTTTGGAAGAAGAAATCACAGGGAACAAATGCTGGTCAACTTCTTCGAGAAAAAGGAGCTATTTCTGATAAATACATTTTTCGAGAAGAAATCACAAAGGAAGTAGACCTGGCACTGTCCCGATAACATTACAAAAAACGAGATTGACTTCATCATGACGGACAAAAGCCACATATTCAGAGATGTCTCAGTAATCAGAAAATTCAATACTGGAAGCGATCATCGCCTTGTCCGAGGCACTCTGAATATCAATTTTTACGCTTGAAAGTAATGAAATTGATGAAGTCCACCCTTCAATCAAATCTGCTTCAAACCATAACTGGCTCCCAACTCTTCAAGCTAGAACTTAAAAACCGATTCAATGCCTTGAGATCCACGTTGGATATTGACAAGGATCTTATCAGCACGATCAAGGTCTTAAGGGATGAGGGCAATAGGTTTTGTGGCAAGCAACATATGGGCCGAAAGTCGAAGTTCTCAGAAAAGGCACTTCAACATACGAAAAGAAGGCGTGAGTTAACTATAGCAACGCCATCGGAATCAAAACAAGGGATCCCAAGTCTTTGCTCAGGAGCTTGGGAGAAGTCACATCGCAAGACTGCAGGCGTATGATGGCAAAGTCCTCACGTCAAAGCCTGAGGTTCTCTCTGAGATCGAAGACTATTATGGCAAACACACACAACCGGACCCTAAATGCGATGTACTATACCGACGAGCTGCCAGACATCTGCCTTGAGGAGACTGAGCTGGCCCTCGGCCAACTTAAAAAGGGAAAAGTCCCTGTGTAAGATGGAGTTACAATAGAGCTCTTAAAGGCTGGGAGTCAACCCTTGCTAAAAGAGCTCTGCCGAGTTTTTAACTGCATCTTACGAGATGGGAAAACTCCAAAGGCGTGGAGCAGAAGCATTACAGTCTTGTTTCACAATAAAGGTGACAATACTATGCTCATAAATTATCGACCCATCTCGTTTCTGAGCCAGGTCTATAACTTGTTTTCGAGGGTCATCACAAGTCTACTCACGCGAAGACTCGACGACTTTGAGCCTGCGGAACAGGCTGGGTTTCGACACACAGTGCGGCAAATAATACTTTGACTCCATCGAAACTGTTCTGTATTCCGTGCAGCGGTGCCAAATTCACTGGCGTTACAATGAAATGCTGAGATGCATTTATAACACCAGTATGATATCCGTTCTAAGTACAGGGCTGTCAAAGAAAACCTTGATCAGATCAATTTATATGGGACCACACGAGAAGCACCATCTTTCAAATAAAAAAAGAATCATCAAAATCGGTTCACCTAGAAAAAAGTTATGAGGTAGCACACATAAAAATACAGTCGAATTGAGTAGTTCTTCCTGTTTGAAGTTAGTTAAAAACACTAAAAGGCTGTTTTGCACCTGTGGTCTAGACTGGTAAGATTAGTATAACTCTGAGATCTTGCCTTAGTGATCATTACGCTCGGCAGGCGTATTGACGTTTGCAGTACTAGATGTTTTACGCTTTTAAGCGCGCAAAAATGTTGACAACATTTATGTCTCCAACTGTTTACAATTCAACAAAAGTTACCAACATTTGTTTCCGATGTTGCCGACAAATGTTTCCAACAAGCGTCTCCACTGAGGGAACAAATGTTTGCAACAAGCGTATTCCTTTGATGTTGCCGCCGAAAATGGAACCACGGTTCCCGACATTGTTTCAAGTTTTGTTGCCAACACTAGGTAATTACAGAAACATTTGTTAAAAACACGTGTTGGCAACACAACAGTTGATAACAAAACTTTGGTGGAGACGCGGCTTAACTGTTATCTGACGTAAACGAGATGGTTATATAGCTAAATATTGCAAGTCATAAGTTTTTCTGGCATTTCCCATTGTCAATTTTTACGACTGAATAGGGGTGTAATAGTAAATAGGGTAATAATAGATAGGGTAATAAATTCTCTTAAGCCGCCATGTTACAACAACACAAGCAAAAATCTACGAAAAAATAGATTTTTTAATTGTATTACCGTTAACTACTCCACGTAAACTTTAAATGCTTATGTCATTAGTGATTCACGAAAGTATTCGAACCCACGACTTTTTGAGTTCGCGATCTGCACGCTACCATTAGTCTACTGTCGCTTTAGGTTAAAATGTACACTTGTGTTTACAGTTGCGTTTTAGATTTATCTACCATAGAAAAGGAGCGTACTCATGAAATTTGGCAGCAGTTGGACGATGGTTACGGTTTCATACATTTGTCTTTGACAATGTGCGTTGTACGCTATGTGCCAGCACAGCATAGAGAAACTATCAAGACTGACGATCTGCAGCATAAAGACGTATGTAACCCAGAAAATGTACATAAAACAACATGTTTACGATCAAATATTTAGGTAGGGTTTTGTGTTAGGGAATCTTTATATAATAAAATAGAATAGTTTGATGAAAAAAAAAAACATAAATTGAATGGGTTAATTTTTATTCAATGTAGATTCGACCTGCCTATTCGACCGAGTAGTGGCGGTGTAAGCATATCTACTACCCCATATCATCCCGTGGGTGTCGTAAGAGGCGAGAAAGGGAAACAAATCAGGAGATATTGTTTTGTACGTGGTAGAGCCATGCTGTAGCTATATTAATAGTATAGTTGTAGCATGAATGGGTCGGCTCGATCGGGGAAGGACCACGCTCTCACAAAATACCAGCGTAAAATAGCAGCTTAATGCAGCACACAGTCCACCTGATGGTAAGTGGTTGCTGTGGCCCATAGACATCTACATCTATCTTCGTTTGCGAATCAAAATGCAGATGCGTTATCACCCGTGAGGGCTAAGCTGGAATGCCTCTTTTCTAGTAAAAACGGTCTCCGTTTCTCTACACTCACCATACGAAACACAGAAGTGTTAAGCTAAGTATTCTGTGAGAGCTTGGTCCTTCTCCGGTCGAGCCGACCCATTTGTGCTACAGCTATACTATTAATATAGCTGCAGCATGGCTCTACCATGTAATAAAAATAACACTTAAAATGTTTCTTATTTCTTTGTTATTAAAAATAATTGTATTTGATAGCGTCTAAAAAGTTCCCCTTCAGTAATTGCGCTTATGCTTATATTAAATTAAATCTTGTGTTATTTATTTATTTAACATTTGCGGTCTAAAGATAATTTTATCGATTAAGACAATTCATTAAAAGTGGCATTATTATAAACAATTTTTTTTTAATTTTATGTACATAAGTGATTGCTCAGCGGAGTAATTTAAGTATAATTATGAATCATCTTGGCTTAATTAAAGAACACATAATAGATACATAATTATGCCATAATTTCATACGAGATTTTTTTTAATTTCTTGTAGGTAACATAATATGTAGGGCATTCAATCTAGGTATACCGAGATCCCGCATAGTGTTTTAGTCCCGCTGGCGGCGAGATTACGTGTGCGGGATCCGCAGGATTTGCGAGATTTTTTCGGAATATGAACTTGATACTCGGGTTAAAATTAGAACAAACACGTTTAAGTGTAAAAGTCGTTGTCGGTGTTCTTTGTCGGCAAGATGTCTTAATTAAAGTATAAGCTACTTTAAAATTAATGATAAATAAATGAGAAATAAGTTAGTTCAAATTCGGCGTTGGCTGCAGAGCTGGTTGTATCCTTACGACAACGTGTTTTACAAAAGCAAACCAACTTATTTTTTTATCTCAAAAGCCCTGATAAGTACTACCAACAAGCTCTGATAAACGACGAAACCTTCAGCTTCCCGACGAAATTGTGCTACGGAAGGAAATTAAAGAGTTTGTCCAGATGATGCGTCTTATAAGCGTATATCTTCTGAAGATGTTGATGAGCATACATACGACTTTCTACTGATGGAGCGGCGAATGATACAACACAAAATGATGGTGACGAAAATGACGAACCGCAACTCCTGTCATCGCAAGAAGAATTACAACCCACTTTAGCTGCAGTTTCATACATGAGTTCTTTAGTTGATTCTGTAGTGTTCCGAGTAAATTCCGTCAAGTCCATAATTAAAAAGAAATGAGGTTCGATGGGCAAGTATATTTGACAATAACATATATCCGTATAATGCCCTTAAATCTATTCCGTTTACAAGTGTGAGGGGCCGAAAGGGTTTTCTCTGCTGCAAGCTATATAGCGTCGCACATACGAAGCAGTCTGGCACACGAGAGTTTGGATACTTTGGTTTCTTTTTCAGCAGAAGAAGTCTTAATTAAAATAAAAATTATTTTCTTCGTTGTTTTAGTTGAAATAGGCACGTGGTAGAGCCATGCTGCAGCCATATTAGTAGTGTAGTTGTAGCGAATGGGTCGGCTCGACCGGGGAAGGACCACGCTCTCACAGAATACCAGCGTCAAATAGCAGCTTAACACTGCTGTGTTTCGTATGGTGAGTGTAGAGAACCGGAGACCCATTTTACTGGAAAAGAGGCATTCCATCTTAGTCCTCACGGGTGACAACGCATCTGAATTTTGATTCATTATTGAGGATAGATGTAGATGGGTCACAGCAACCACTTAACATCAGGTGGACTGTGTGCTTGTTTGTCACCCTATCCTATATAAAAGAAAATATATAATCAACAGATCAATAGAAAAATAGTTCATTAAAATTAAAAGTAATAAATCGTTTTCGATAATAAAAAATACGAGTACTTACAGATTTTTGTTTTTAACATGTGAATACCTCTTTTAGTTACGCAAAACTCAATAGCCAACTCAGCTTAATAGCATTTACCTACACTTACGGGATATTACGGGATTCTGAGATCAAGCGGGATCGGAAATTATCGACCCCGCAAATACCGAGATTACAAATAACGTGCGGGATTGGATGCCCCTAATAATACGTATTTCAAGTAGTAGCGCATATTTCATTTTGTAACAGCAGCCGTTAAAAGACGATCATTTCTCGAATCTCATTTTTGTCAATTCTCATCATCCTTTTCTCGGGGCAGTTCAGGCCATTTTCGACCCTTCGTTGTGGATAAAATGTGAAGCCTGAATTTTCAGTAACCAAGCATGCATTGTATAAACACGGTGATTATACAATGCATGCTTGCACTAAGATGTTGTTAGTTACATAATAACTTGAGACAGAAGGACCCTTTGTGGAACTGAATAAGTTAACCGACTTGCTATTACATGGATCTCACAACTTTTTATGGTAGAAGAACTGAGTTGCGAGACTTGGTTTTTTTTTTAGAAGTTATCTTTTTAATGGAATTTTTTTTTAAATAAAATTACATAAATTACGACCTAAATGAGAAATAATACGGTGAGAGAAATTTGAAATTAGAACATTCGTATTTTTATTTCTTATTCGTAATCGTATTTCTAAATTTAGTTATAACTGGACGTGTTAGTATCAAAAATTTTTCATCGTATCAGTCGTCTTTTGCGATCATACAAAAATTTCGTACAGTACACACAGTACATTTGATTTCACTAGATTGTAAACTATAAATTAAAAGTGATTCTATTCGATTTTAGTAGACTTGCGAGAATCGTACGTAAAATCGTATTCAAGCGAATAATGAGCCACCGTTGACGCGTTTCCGCTAATGTATTTTACTAAAACATCCTGCTAAAGATTTGATAGTGTGAATTGGCCAATAGATCATAAATTTAAAAAAGAAAATTCTATTCTGCATTTATTTTCAGCAAAATACCCTTGATTTAAAAAGTGATTGGAAATTGGTGGGTTCTTTGCATGTGAAAGTTATCAAAGCAAAAGGGCTAAGTGGGAAGTCGAGCGCTTATTGTAAGTTGGAACTAAATAATGAAAGACTGCGGACTCATAGAACGAGCTCTAGTTTTGAGCCGATGTGGAATAAGAGTTACGTGCTGTAAGTATTAATAATTATAATCTTATTTAAATATGATTTAACATTTCTACTTTGAATGCTCTATAAATGCCCAAATAAGGTAATTTTGAACAGTTTAACAACAATAACACGACCCAACTCAAAATTCATGGAGATATTTAGAAGAACGCAAAAAAAAAGGTTTGATTTCTCCTGTTGTTATTATCGTGCATACTGGCCACAAACATTAGTAAACTATATTTAAAAAAGATTGGAATGTTAGTTTTTCGAACTTCATTTGATTTTATGTAATTACATGTGTAATTATTATTATTTATTTTCCAGCTTTATAATTTGAGTTTAAATTTAGTTTTTTCTTTTAATTTTTGTCTTGACTGCCTTGTTTATCGTGTTATCGGGCACTCAAGTTGCTAGTTGAAACTAGGCACACCTACTAACATTATCAATGTCAAAATCTGTGGTACATCGACTAGTCAAGACCGGACAATATACCAGACTCGCAAGACAGGGACGTGAACGGAAAACTGTGGCCAGAGATTACCGGTTCATCGTTACCAGCGTGCTTAGACCTTACCTTCTTCTGAGGTAAGAACGAAGCTCTAAGAAGTTCGAGGGGTTACCTTCGGGACGTTGAAATAAATGCTATGAGGTGGCCGGCGCGCTCGCCCGACATAACATGAAAGGGATACGCTTGGGAGACAAATTAAGAAAAAAAATCTAGCCCCCGTTAATTTGAGTAATCTTAAAAGCGCTTAGAGAGGTATAGTGGTTGTAAACGCGATTGCTGATCGGATTCGAATCCCGGGTCGGGCCAAAATCAGTTATTAGGGTTTTCAGTCAAGAAGTTCTCAGTATTAGCCCGGATTTAGGAAGTTGGTAGTTTCATCCTCGTGAATCGGAAAGTACGTAAGGCCGTAGGTTCTGAACCTGATGTTTCTCCGGTCGTATCGAATTAAAGTCCCATCGGACTATGAGAATTAGGGAATAGAGAGTGCACCTGTGGTTGCGCATACACTTGGGCATTATAATCCTGTACAGCGCAGATATTATTCAGATAGTGTTCTTACTCGCACTACCCCGTGTAGTGGCGGGTAAGAATACTCACTACCCCATATCTTCCCGTGGATGTCGTAAGAGGCGACAGAGGGTAAATGAGGCAGAGGATGGGCAGCAGCATCTTTCTGATAACAGCAAAACAACAACAAAAAACTGCGGTTACCAACCTGCTCGCCAAGCGTGGCAACTATGGCAATGTACCCCCCAATGAGTAAAGTTACGAAGAGACGGCCCCCAGTCCCCGGCGGCCCCGATATTCCTGGCTACGGTGGCGACCATGGTAACGGCGGGGCAGGGGGTGCTAAGAATCTCCGGTGGAGGTTTGGTTGCCACCTACGATAGACAAGTTGCGCTGGAATATCATAGGATTATCCGAGGTCCGAAGAGAGGGGGAGGACACGGTAATCCTCGAAACCGGCAACTTGTTTTATTACTGGAAGGGCGACCATCTGTCCCAAGGAGGTGTCGGATTTATCATCCACAAGTATCTCGTTAACAACGTTGTAAAGATTGGGAGTGTGTCGACGAGGTTTGCGTACCTTATACTCAGAATTACCAAACGGTATTCGCTGAAGGTCATACAGGTTTACGCACCAACCTCGGCACACTCCGATGAGGAGGTGGAGGAAATGTATGAGGATATCTCTAGAGGCATCCATTCCTCCGAAACCCACTATACGGTGTTAATGGGAGACTTCAACGCAAAACTAGGCAGGGGAATAGGGCAACGAAACCCAAGGGGCCAGCAGCTGGCCGACTTCATGGAGAAAGAGGGACTCTTTATGATGTACTCTTTCTTTCAGAAGCGGCCCCACAGGAAGTGGACCTGGTCGAGCCCCGACGGTTCGACAAAAAATGAGATTGACTTCATTATGACGACCAGACGACAACTGTTCAGTGATGTCTCCGTAATCGCGAGTGTGAAAACCGGCAGCGATCACCGAATGGTGAGAGGCACACTGAACCTAAACGTTAAGTTGGAGAGGTCACGTCTAACGAAGTCAACGCTCCGTCCCCCTCGAGCTCTAATCCAAAGTCCCGAAACCTTTCAGCTCGAGCTAAGAAACCGTTTTCAGTGCCTAGAAGATTGCAATGCAGTGGACGATATGAATGACAAGCTGGTGGAAACTGTCCATGCGGTCGGAGCTAAGCTTTACAAGACCCCCGCAGAAGAACACAAACATTCTCCGGTCACACTTTTAATCTCATGGCTGTTAGATGGGATATGAAGCTACAGCCTTCAGTAGATTTGACAGTATACAGGCAACTGAACAGACAGATCTCCAAATACATGCGGCGTGACTTACGAAACTTTGTTACTGCTAGTATTGAAGAAGTGATCGAGCGGTACCAGGGCTCCAAACTCTTTGCTAGAAATCTGTCTGCCAGAAAGAGCCAACTGTCGAAGCTGAAGACCGAGCGTGGCAGCATCGTTTCCGGGACACCTGAGACTTTGAGTGAGATTGAGAGGTTCTATGGGCAGCTGTACACATCATCGTGAGTAACGATCCAAGAGCGAGTCTTATCCGACACTGTTATGATGATATCCCGGACGTCAGTCTGAGCAAGATTAGAATGGCTCTCCAGCACCTTAAAAATGGCAAGGCCCCAGGTGAGGATGGAATTACAGCGGAGCTTCTGAAAGCGGGTGGAAAACCGGTACTTGAAGTCCTTCAGAAGCTCTTTAATTCCGTCCTCCATGGTGGCATTACACTGGAGGGGTGGAGCAGAAGTGCGGTGGTCTTGTTCTTCAAGAAAGGCGACAACGCTCTCTTGAAGAACTACAGACCGATTTCCCTTCTGAGCCGCGTCTACGTGCTGTTTTCAAGAGTCATCACGAATCGTCTCACGCGCAGACTTGACGACTTACAGCCTCCCGAACAAGCCGGTTTCCGAAAAGGCTTTAGCACCATAGACCACATACATACCCTTCGGCAAATTGTACAGAAGTCCGAGGAGTACAATTTGCCACTATGTCTGGCGTATGTGGACTATGAGAAAGCCTTTGATTCCGTCGAAATTTGGGCGGTGCTGCAGTCCCTTCAGCGGTGCCAAGTTGACTGTCGGTATATCGAAGTGTTGAAGTGCTTGTATAGTAAGTTGGAAGACGTTTTCAAGCTTCTGGACTGGAAATGATACGGTATTAACATCAATAGCGAGTACATTACTCACATTCAATTTGCTGACGATATAGTCCTTATGGCAGAATTGCTGGAGGACCTAAGCACTATGCTCAATGACCTCAATAGTGTTTCCCAACGGATAGGTCGTAAGATGAACATGGACAAAACAAGGATGTTGTTGGGAGCACTAAGCTCGAAGTTGTTGACGAGTATGTTTATCTGGGACAAATAGTCCGACTAGGTAAGTCCAACTTCGACCGAGAGGTCCATCGACGGATTAAACTCGGTTGAGCAGCGTTAGGGAAATTACGGCACATCTTCTTGTCAGGTATACCTCAAAACTTGAAAACGAGACTTTACAACCAATGGGTGTTGCCAGTGATGACCTATGGAACTGAGACGTGGTCCTTCACTGCTGGCCGGATGAGGCAGCTCAAAGTCGCTCAGCGAGCTATGGAGAGGGTTATGCTCGGAGTTTCTCTGCGTGATAAACTTAGAAATGAGGATAACCGTAGTAGAACCAGAGTTACCGACGTAGCCCAACGGATTAGTAAGCTGAAGTGGCAATGGGCCGGCCATATGGCTCGAAGAACCGACAACCGACGGGGACAAAAGGTTTTAGATTGGCGGCCTCGTACCGGCGGACGAAGTGTAGGGCGTCCCCCACTAGATGGAGTGACGACCTGGTAAGATATGCAGGAAGTCGATGGATGCAGGTGGCTCAGGAGTCAGGACCGTGCTTTGTGGCATTCTTTGGGGGAGGCCTATGTTCAGCAGTGGACTTGTGAAGGGCTGAACTGATGATGATGATGACTGCGCAGATAGCTAGTCTCTGCAATAATGTCCTCCAGACCGAAATTCGGTGTGGAGGATATTATTACAGGAAGAATTGAACGCAATATCACAAGATTGTATTGATAACTAGATTAGATGTACGCCAAGGAGACTGCAAGCAGAACGACATTAAGTACTGATTATAGCCCACGTTACAGCCTTTCCTAGCATTTATAAAAAAAATGTCAGGTACAAAATTTTTTCTTTCGTGTAATATTTTTCTTTTTTTTTCTTAATTTCGTTAATTTTTTCATTTGTTCGTTTGTTTTTCGACATTCGCAATTTTAAATTAAGGAATGATGCGTAAAATCCAAATAATGCGGGGAATGTCGACAACAAAAGGTGGATCCCGCCGAGCTCTGGTAGTAGCAAAAAGCGTAGGAAATTAATCAAATCATGTAATTAATACCAGGGCATATTTTTGTGTAACTTATAAATAATAAGTATGGTTTAAGAACTTAATACATACCGAAACAATTATTTTACAGTGATGTCTACGATGTTACGTCAGAACTTAAAATAACAGTGCTCGGTAGTTCATTACGGAACGCGCTTTTAAATGAATTTCTCGGACAAGTTTCCATTCCTTTGTTGAGGATAAATAATGGAGAGGCACGTTGGTACGCACTAAAAGGTCGAAATAAGCGAAATGCTGCTAGAGGAAATTGTCCAAGAATATTATTACAAATGAATATTAACTGGAACCCCGTGAGTAAATTTACAAACAATATTAATTCGCAATTCGCAGTGCTGCAATGTGAATTGCGAACTGCAATCACTCTCCCCCTTGCCGACTGTCGCGATTATGGAAAATCTTCACTACTATAGAAGAGGCCAATGGCCAGCAGGATACTGTTCCATATATAAAGAAAATATTAATGATAAATTAAAATATTGATTCTCCCCCCCCCCCCCCCCCCTCAATTTGCCACAATGTGCAGGCCGATACGAACACAGTACTAGACTAATATAATTCGCACATAATTAATATAATCATAGTCATAATTCACCACAGTTCGTACTCCATAAGATGCCGGCAATTTTTTATTAAAAATGTGTAAAGTGTTGCTTGTCTTGTTTATCCATTTGAATTTTTTTTACCTTGGTATTATTATCTAATTTACTTTTATATTTCACATGCGCCACATTATCTCAGTACAGTTTAGTAGTGTCCGACTAAAGGTCGATTTATAGCCGAAACCGAAGCTGAAGCCGAGATTAATCGGTTATTGCCACAATCTTCGGCTGAAACCGAAGCCGATGACGAATTCTTAAAAACTATGAAATTAAGTTCGCCACGTCTATCGCGTTCTCTCTCATTCGTAACAGTTTCTTAAATTTCGGCGTTTTCTAGAAACCTTCAACTTCAGCCGAAACTTCGACCCATTGGTTGAAGCCGAAGGTTTCGCCAAAGGTGATTTTTTTGACCGTTAGTGACCGAAGCCAAAACCGAAGGTGGGACACTACGTTTAGTGAAACAAAATGCAATAATTAATTCAGGTGTCATGTTTTACATTTCATTTTCATGTTTTACATTTAGATTCTCCTTCACTGAATATCACATAGTTTTATATTATATTTCTAGATAAAAGCAACACTTCGACTCTTTCGACCAAAGGAAGTAAAACATATACAAAAACCTTACAAAATGGATATATCGATTCTTCTAAAAAATCTCGTGACTTTCTCAGATTGGTACAATAAACTCTTAAGTGTGAACGAAAAATTTAAGTGAGTATATTTTAAGTCTTAATAATTTGCAAAATATTGTAATATATATATATATATATATATATATATATATATATATATATATATAAGACTTTATTTCATGTGGAATAATAAATAAAAATAATAAAATAAAATAAATTTATTTCCGACTTTTGTCCGTAAAATTGTTATTATATTAAAAAAGAGATCTTAAAACTAGGTTAGTAACATTAAAATCTTGGAAAATATTTATTCTAATTTAAATATCTGACTGCACTGCGCGACAGCCGTGCAACATGTGTGTGAGCGTACACCCAGTGCCGCAGTAACGGACAGTCAGGTTTTTCACTGATAACTCTGAGAATGGTATTGGCGCTCCCCCGCACCGTGCGCGATTTGCGAATGCGATTCGCTTGCGCACTACGATGTGAAACCCATCAGTGTGCGCCAGTGCGAACATGCCTGATGCATTGCAGTAACTTAGAAGCCCCAACAACATCCTCAGACCATTATTATACCACAGATTGCACGTATAAAGTGTTTGGCAGTATGCCTTAAACAGTGTTATTTTCACATCTGGACTGCTACGTGCAAATCTGCGAGCGAACATGTTGCAGCGGACTGCCATCTCTCTCCTTCCACATGATCGAGATACTTGAAGGATGGCACCCTTGCAAGGTCGCTACCGTTAAGCTTGACAGGCGGTACATACATCACCTTATGGGTCCTGGCTTTAAAAACCATCAACTTACTTTTCCTAACATTATATAAGAGGCCGACTATTTATTTAACAGTCAACGACACCTATATAGGTGCCGATAGGAATATAGGAGCCGATATAAATTCCGGGCTCCGAGTAAGATTCATGATCATTTCAAATTTCACAGACTGATGATGGGGGCAACATTATAGTCAGTGCCTGATTGGTGAGGAAGCGCAAATCCTTCTAGTGCTTGTCACCTGACGCATTTTTAAGCCGTTTATTATAAGCCAGTGCTTGACCACTATCACACCTGGTGGTATGTAGCCTAAGCTGGTAAAGCACATTGACTTAGCTTGCAAGGTGATAAGAGGCCTGGTTGTTTTCTCGATCAAGGGCTAAGTATGTCTGGCTATTTAGCCATTCAGCGAGACAATACAGCCAGTGTTCTTGGCACTTTACCGCGAGGAGTATGACTGTATTATTTTTTATCAATAGTTCCACGACTCAGTCCCGTTAGAAATAAAAATAGATGCCGAAAAAATTTTTGTCTAGTCATCAATTATTTTAAATGATTAAATATGAACTTCATTTACGGATTACGGACATTTTTTTAAACGTATTTACATGATAATAAGATAAGAGAATCAGAATCCTGTTTCTACATAGTTTTTACTTGCTTTTCTGCCGACTTCCAAAAAGGAGACGGTACTCAATTCGACGCGTATGTTTTTTTTATGTGTGTTACCTCATAACTTTTACTGGGTGAACCGATTTCGATGATTCTTTTTTTATATGAAAGCTGATACTTCTCGTATGATCCCATATGAATTGATCAAGATCAGACCAATAGTTTTTGGGTTATTTGAGTTATTCTTAATAACTTATATTGAAGTCGGCTGTACAAAATTTTTAATTTTAAATTATTGTACTTAACTTCTTGTTAAATGCAAAGGCATATTAAGGAAAAGAAACGCCGTCCAAACAAAAACAAGAAAAAAAAACAAGCCTTTTATTAAGTTTCTTAGTTGTGATTTTAGAACTAGAATAAAAAATTTAAACGTATTTTTGATTATTGTATTTGTGTATTTTAAGACTTACCAGGTCGTCACTCCATTTAGTAGTGAACCGGCCTACACTTCGGTTACCGGTTCGAGGTGTCGTACTTTGTGGCATACCTTGCGTGAGGCCTATGTTCAGCACTGGACTTGTGTGAAGGGAAACCCACTTGAGCGTTCCATATTATGGGTAGTATAATTGCAAGCTATACGGCATTCATTTTAATCCGCAAAAACACATAAGAACAAATCAGATTACGAGGAATTCTTGTATAATACCGGAACCCGAAAAATATTTTACTTCAATTGTTTATTCATATATCGTTTTTATACAGATCACTATTTGAATGGGATAATCGGGAGCTGTCAGCTCTTGCATTGTTGGTTTGGTTAATATTCTGCTACCACCTTAAGCCCTGGGCAGTGCCATTAATTCTCTTATTACCATTCTTGTTCTTTTGGAGTTATACATGGATCCAAGGTAAAAAATGTGTGTAAAACAATGGAAATAAAAATTAGATATGCGAGTTGCAAATGATAAATATCAATACTTTTATAGGAGACAGCTTCGATAACGACACAGAGAACAATGAAGGAACACATGACAGTCGAAAGGTATTTAATACTTAATTTATTTATGCTATTTTTATAAAACTAAAGGATTTTCCATGTGGTAGAGAAAGGAGTACGCTCTCACATACATAGTACCAACGTGAGAACAGTTCTATACTGCTGTGTACGAAGAGTCCTAAGGGGAGACAAGTGCAGTAAAAATTATTTAGCAAGAGTTATTCATCATAATTTCTCATCATAAAGCGGCTCTCGTTACAGCATTACATCATCTTGTAATGACAGTTACAAACAATTTTTTTTTGGAACTTTTAGGATAACAAGGGACTAGGAGATAAAATAAATAATATGCAAGATGTAACAACAACAGTTTCCTTCGCATTAGATATCGGAGTGTCAGTGGTTGAAAGGATTATCAAGTAAGTGTTTTAAAATCAATGATTAACTTAAAAATTATCAACACCTAAGGGCACTTTTATTGCCATTGATACCGGTTTTGTTATTTTACCAAATATTTTGAGACCCACGTTTACAGCAAAGTTGGTTTTATGAATAAATATTAGTCACAGAATAATTTTGCATTAATATAAGCTTGCGTAATATTGTGTTACGATCAAATTTTATTCCAGTGAAAAGTATTGAAAGTTTAATTATTATAAGTATTAAGATGCTTTAAATAATTTTTGGGAGCAAAACATTAATAACTGATGAAATAACATATTTTCAAATTATCGTCGCAGAAGTATTTTTCCATGGCTTGCCAATATTATCAGCCGTGAGGGATTTTAATAGCTTTAGGTAAAGTTTTATGATAACTAGGTAGACAAAAAATCTTGAGTGGGAGTCTCGTACTGGTAAGAGCAGTGTTTATATTACTCTACACAGCGCGTTGAGCGACACTTCAATAGATGGAGTGACGACTCGATGAGGTCACTGCATGCCTCATCAACTCGCCTTTTCGCATTTCAAAAATCGTTGCTTGAAGCTTGTTGAAGAGTAATAACAAGCTATTCAAAACAAAAAAAGTCTTATGTAGTAACGTGCTGATGAGTTTTGGCAATACCAACGGTTTTTAATCAAAAAAAAACTTTACCGCCAGAGTTGGATTTTTACTTGGCGGCGTTTATATAATATGTACTTGCACAAACATCTAGATCCGGAACAATTATTAGGCAATATAAAACACCTGTTCCGCGCGGGAATCGCACCCGTGGCTCTGCAACGCAGTACCAAAATGCTAAGCCGTAGAATTTGAGTCAGTTACTGTGCGAGTTGAAAAGTTTATATTTAGTCACAGCCCATGTTAGCTTACTTTTTTCAAAATAATCCTTTTGAAGGCAGTAAATAATGTCATCACTTGAATATTATATTATTTAAACGTAGAAGAGTCATGCTGCAACTGTTATAACACGAATGGGTCGGCTCGACCGGAGATGGACCACGATCTCACGGAATACCTGCGTAAAATAGTAGCTTAATGCTTCTGTGTTTCGTATGGTGAGTGTAGACCCTTTTTACTTAAAAAGAGGCATTCCATCTTAGTCCTCACGGCTGACAACGCATCCGCATTTTGATTCGCTAACGAGGATAGATGTATTATGTCTATGGGCCACAGCAACCACTTACCATCGGGTGGACTGTGTGCTCGTTTGTCACTCTTATTCTATAAAAAAAAATTAATTACACAATGTGTTTTGACAAGTGTTCACTATACAGTAAAAAAGCTCAACAATTTTTTTTCCAGCCTAATTACATTCAAGGTGCCATTTTTAAGTTACGTGGCTATGTCATTACTGGTCATAGTTTCCGTAATGTTATATTTTATGCCGTTCAATTATTTATTGATGCTATTCGGTGAGTACCTATTTTATAATAATTGAAATTTAAAATTCCGATCTGAAAGGTCAGACCTGGTAGTTGCAGAAAGCTAGTACAATCACAGCCTGTGGCCATCTTGGTCTTCAAAGATGACAACACATCTGTGGCCTTCTTAGTAGTAGTAATAATGCAGAAGTGCCTTCTTGTAGTAGCGCAGATGTCCACGGACTGCAGTAACCGCTTACCGTGGCAACTATGAGTTTGTTTGTCTCTTCGGTTTTATATAAAAAGAATGTACTTATAAAAAGTTTGAAATGTATATTTATTTGCTTAATAACCAGCCCGTAACAGCTCACTGCTGGACCTTGACCCTCTCCTATTATAGGAGGGATTTGTCGTTATTGCCAAACTTGGCATATGGAATAATAATTACAGTACCAGTTGTACCTCATTCGTACTGGCAAGCGTAGTGTAGGGCGGCACCCTACTAGGTGGGAGTGAGGACATGGTAAGACACGCAAAAAATTGAAGGAAGCGGTTGGCACGGAACAGTGTTTGTGAAGGGCTATAATGATGATGATAAAGAAGAGTATCAGATGTATCGCACCTTTGACTTCGATTGGACTCTTTTTCCGTCGTCGATCAGGATATTTTACCTAGGGATGAAATTATGTAGTAGATTATCTTAAGCCACCGATACATGACAATAAAAAAACATAACGTGACTTAAAAACTCACGCCTGCCACCCAGAGAGGTAGGCAGAGACTACGGACCATTTGGCATGATCCTGACATACCTCTCTCACCTCCTTTACATCCATATACCTACATACCCCATCCATATACACACCTACGTATACATGCTCGTCGGTTAAGAGTAATCTGGTCCATTCTCAATATATCGCCAATTTGGTCGATAAAGTTTCGTCTAAGTCTAGGGCGTTCTTTCTCAACTTTGCCTTTCACTTCTGCAACATAGATTTGCTTTGTCACTCTTTCCTAGTTCATTCTTTCTACATGACCAAACCACCGAAGCATTTGTTTTTTTAAATCCTGGTCACAACATCATCTTGCAAACCACACTTTTCTCTTATCACACAATTTCTCACATTTTCATTCAGATTCAGCCCTAACATACTACTTAATGACCGCATTTCTACAGCATTTATTTAACTTCCACTACCGTACAACTAACACAGCATTGTGAATTACCATACGTAATAACCATTTAAAATTGTCAGGCTAATTAATTTACGACCGTGACGTTATACCAGCGTGTAACGTGCTAACACTCTGGTGCTATGCTATATTGCGGTTTTAGTAACACATTAGTTTATCTTGGGAGAGTTGTTGTAATGGGATGTGTTAGACTACACAATGATAAAGAGCGGTTTGAAACGTTACGACTACGACATTATACTGGCTCTCTTCAAACTCCGGACCGGAACACAGCAGTGTATGCACTTTTTTAACTAAGGTACGTGAGGGTAATATGGTCACCTTAAGCTTTGCCGCCCTATAAAAGCAAAACTAGGAGGAGGACAAAGACAAAAACACAAAGTTAAAAAACTATAAATATATTAAGAAAAAAAATAGCAAACAAGCCTTGGCAATAATTAGGAACTCTTCGAAAAATCAACTTAAAGAAAACTAAATACACTACACACAATACTAAAATCGACTAAAATATTTACTATAATAGCAACTGTCAAAATGGCGTCGATAAAGCAGCGCTCTATTGACCCTCTATTATTTGAATGACTGATGAAGAGCTATCGTATCACAAAGCCATCTATGCAAATAAGGCTGTAGTTTTTGAGTTATAAGAAAGTGACCACATTAGCCGGATGACCATATTACCCTCACGTACTATATTCTAAGTTGGCAAGAGGCGATGCAGCCGAAAATTGGTGGCAGAAATAGGTAAGATGATGGTACCTACCCAGTCGGACTGCTAGGCACTAAAAGGGTTCCTACCATTCTAGAAAAAAAGTTGGAAGGAATTAAATGCATATTTTGTAACATTTAAAGGTACTGATTATATCATGCTACTTGCTAATTTGCAATTGTAGTATCAGATGCCGATGCAGAGAAAAAAAACATGACAGAGTTTACATGTCTGTCACTGAATTATAACCGTTCAGTTTTGTAGGTTTATAATGTTTTAAAATGGATTTTTCGCGATATTTTACCCCCGTGTTCGAAAATCACATAGTCTTGCACCTGATTTCTCTCCGGTCGTGTCGGATTGTCATGCCATCGGACTATAAGAAAGAGATTATACGCAACTGTGCTTGCGCATACACAAGTCCTCCCCATGTCCAAGTTTTTTATTAGGTTGTGACTCCTTTTCTGCCGACTTCCAAAAAGGAGACGGTACTCAATTCGACGCGTATGTTTTTTTTTGTGTAATGTGTGTCATAACTTTTTCCTGGGTGGACCGATTTCGATGATTCTTTTTTTATATGAAAGCTGATACTTCTCGTGTGGTCCCATATGAATTTGATCAAGATCAGACCAATAGTTTTTGAGATATTTTAGTTATTCTTAATAACTTATATTGAAGTCGGCTGTAAAAAAAATTTAATTTTTAATTATTAGCTTAGTAGTATGTAGGTGCCATGCTATTTCTGCCACCAAATAGCAGGTACCTTCACTGTTGTGTTCCGGTAAAGGGTAGAAAACCAGTATAATTACAGTATGTGAAGCATTCCATCTTGCTTGAAGCTGCTATATGTGTCCATGGAATGTAGTAGCCACTTGTCATCAGGTGGACTATAATTTGGTTTTTTTTTTTATAAAAGAGGGGGCAAACGTGCATTTGGCACATTTGATGGTAAGTGACTACCGCCGCCCATGAACAACCGCAACACCATGGGAATTGCAGGTGCGTTGCCGGCCTTTTAGAAAGGTGTAAGCTCTTTTCTTCAAGGTCCCTAAGTCGTATCGGTCCGAAAAAATCGCCAGTGGTAAACAATTCCATAGAGAACCTGTACGTTGTTTGTCATTCTAGATAAAAAAAAATTACTAAAAGGAGGTATTCTTCTTTTTTTAGCAACCTATTACAGTTTACTGCTGGACATGGCTTATTTTATTCTACGTAGGAGTTTCCTCAATCCTTTAGTCATTTGATGGCTCGGTAGCGCAGCTAGGCTGTAGAGGCGCTGCGGGACCGCGAGTTTCGTAATCTTCTAATTTTTTCTGTGTCATATGTTTTGGGTCTGGATTTTTTTCCATGTGCAATTTATGAATGTAATACGTCACCATGATACGGAAATATCACAGTGTGGATGTAACACAAAAATTACATAATCGCCACGCTTGGCAGGCACTTGCAAGTAGTACTCACACTTGCAAGTAGTACTCATACTTGCAAGTAGTACTTACACTTGCAAGTAGTACTCACACTTGCAAGTAGTACTCACACTTGCAAGTAGTACTCACACTTGCAAGTAGTACTCACACTTGCAAGTTGTACTCACACTTGCAAGTTGTACTCACACTTGCATGTAGTACTCACACTTGCAAGTAGTACTCACACTTGCAAGTAGTACTCACACTTGCAAGTAGTACTCTCATTTGCAAGTAGTACTCACACTTGCAAGTAGTACTCACACTTGCAAGTAGTACTCACACTTGTAAGTAGTACTCACACTTGCAAGTAGTACTCACACTTGCAAGTAGTACTCACACTTGCAAGTAGTCACACTATGATGACACTAAGATGTCTCACACTATAGTCGTTGCTCCCCGTCACTTGTGTGGATATTTTACATCTGGCAGATGATCCACAAGATTGTGCACCTTCATCTATTGCAGGCCGTGAGATCTTTGTGGTTTTTTCCATAGTCACCTCTTACGAAACCCCCTCTTATATGGAGGTATAAGATAGTGTTTATTATCGAAATAACTGAGCTGCTAAACAACACTTTAAAGGAACAACATGTTTTCTTTTTCAGGCATTTACAAATTTATGAGGAAATATTTAAACCCAGATAGAATGTTAAACAATGATTTAATAGATTTCATCTCAAGGATACCGGATAACAAACTATTGGTTAGTAATGTTTACAAACCACTTGGTTTTATATATTAATGTAAATCCACCTGATTAACATCTGCGCGGAAAATAATCATAACTTTTTGTTCCACAGAAAGATTGGAAGGAACTCAACGTTCCCGAACCGACTCCGTAAATGAAATCGCCGAAGAAAGATCGCAAGTTCCGACAACCTCTACCTTAGTGTTGATACATGATACACAAAAAAATCGACGTGAATTTACATAATGCTTTAAATTTCTCTCTCTCTCTCTCTCATCTTTTCACTTATGACAATAGAAATAGACAGATATAAAAATGATCAATGTTTATGTTAAACAGGCGATTGACAATGATTATAAGTAAGGTCGTGAGCATATAAAGCAATACTTACTAACTTAAATTTAGGTCTTTACACTCTTACAAATATTTTTTTATATAAAAGTATAAAATAAATGCACAACTAAAGTAATAATTTATGTGAATAACCATATTTCTCCCTTATTCAACTAATCTTGATTGTTAAGAGATCGCACGGATAATATTTTTGTATCGGAGTCCTTAAGCACACTCTTGGACTCCAATGCAAATGATGTGTGCCGCAGTACCCCTAAAAAAATAACTTCAAACATGTCTTACATTTAACTATGATAAGTACAAATGTACAGAGGCATACTTAATGGAACATAAATAAATACTACGCACTAAATTAATCACAATCTCCGGTAAACTCTACGCAACGTTCGTAGAGTAACGAAATTTATGCAGGGCGTTATGGCACTAATCTCTACAGAGATTCATAAAATCTGGCCCGGTGTTTCACTACCGACGCTTCATGGAATTCGATCTGCTCGGGCTGGACTCTGGCACTGTCACTTTAAGCTCTCGCCACTGTTTCTGTGAAGAACATAATAATACGCAATAGAATAGGCTAACTTATTTAATATACATTGTTTACATATTAAGGGTTAAATTGTTTCAGAAAAGTACATAAACAATTACACCTACCCATGACATAGACATCTCTGGCTACACAGTCATAAGTTTTCAACTGTGCAGATCATCAATATAATAATACCTAAGTGTAAGTGCAAAAATGTTACATTTGTTTGCTCAAATCTTGCTCTTGGTTGTACAGTACAGCAAAAAATATTACATGGATAATTGTAAAGAATGTAAATGAATTATGACTATTTATCTTAATAAGTCCCTAAACAAACTAATAACTATTTCTTTAATCTTTCTGAAATTCCAGCAATGTTATTATCATTGTTTATTATGATGTTAATAATTCTAATTAAGTTTAAATACTTGTGCAGTCGGTGGCGGATAACCCACTAGATATTACTACTGTTGCTTATTTAAATTATACAATAGAAAGAAAATTATATAAGAAAGTATTTTTTACTTAATATACAAGGGTAAATTTCAATTAGTGTATATATATATATATATATTTATTAATCAAATTCTTACCAAAATCTCATTGTCTGGCACTCGGGATATGAAGTCCAATATATCGTTATTTGGAACTCTATCAGGATTTAGAGCTTTGCGTGTAAACTTGTATATACCTAAAAATAAATAGATTTAACCAACTTTTTAAATGCATATTTTATTATTTACTGCTATATCTAAACTATAATTATATTTATTTCACACATATATATAACAAAAAGGTAATTAATTAGTACAAAAGTCTGCCCATACAGTGACGTAAGAATTCAAACAAGAACAGATACAAGTATTCTAACATCTCTCATATTTATGTAAAGTTATGGGCAAAATGTAGACCAAGGTAGGCACGTAAGTGTACAGTTAAGTGATCTTTCAATGTCCTTATACTAAATAATACATGCAGTAGCCATATATACTAATCCGGTCAATAGTTAGCTCGTGTGTTACTCTATCATTACAATATGATAAAAATGAATAATGAGATCATGCGATAAGTCCGTGCTGAAAATAGGTCCCACCAATGAACTGAAGCTTGGGCGTAATTTTGAAAGATTTATTGGTGTTTATTGATTTAAATATCTTAGGTGTGGCATATTCGAAAGACGTGGTTGTTCAGGTGTTAAGGGCCGGCCGTAAATTTCACAGTACGCAAGTATCCCTGAATCGGTCCCCGGCAACACTAGTGAAATTGTTAATTGCAATTTTAAGTGTTGATGTAGGGTAGACTGGGTCCCCCCCGAACGGGTTCCCGCCTTGTCGTGGCGGGGGGGCTTAGTAGCCGTGGCTTTGGTCACCCACGGTGAACAAAGAGGAACCCCTTGGCTGGCCCGTGGTGTAGGGCCGGCCCGAGGTGGCCACTCCGAGTGGGCTTGGCGAGCCCACTTCGGATGTGTGTCGGGGGGCTGCGGTGAGAGGGGAGTCCGCACCCTCTACCGCTGCAGCCGAGGTGGAGTCGCGGAGGAAGAGGAGTGTTGGTATGGCGATGCGCCACTCGCCCTATCCTCAGCGACTCTGACGGGGCCGCACCGTTAATGATGCGGTGGTGGTGGGGCTGCGGGGGGAGAGGAGTGTCGGTATTGCGAGGCGCCGCTCTCCCTACCCTCCGCAGCCGAATCTCGGTTGGCGGCGGAGCCATAGACCAGATCCGCCGCTGGGGCCAGAAATGCCGGTGCTTCTGAGTGCTGGTTTTTCCTGGCCCCATGGCCTTCGCGCATCGGACGCGGGGGCATCTGTTGCGCATTGAAACTTGGAGGCCGAGGAGGAGGGCGCGCCGTGTGTTCTGGTGCGCCTTGCCTGAGAAGGAGATGGGGGAGGAGTGGTCCTCTCCCGAGGAGGGGCCGCCATGGTGCGGCCGGCGCAGGTGGGGCCGCGGAAGTGTGCGAAAGCGTTCCCGTGGCCCTGCCAATATGCGACGAGGGTGGAACACCATGGGGTTTTAGTCGGTGCAAGTCCGACATAACCCGACCTTGCCCCCGCGAGGCGGGTATGCGTAGGCATTTCCACATGTAAAAAAAAAAAAAGGGAGACTGGGTACGGTTGAAACATTTTAGTGTTTATCGTCCATTGCATCTCGCTAGCTTAACTAATAAAGCGAGCGATGACTGACAAATAATACAAAATATAATTAATGAACATGTTTAATTTATCGTCTAATAACATTTTAGGACTCGTAATTGTACTGTTGAACATCACAAATATTTTTTATTCTTTTCTTGTTTTTAAAAAAACGTTACCCCCACACAAGGATTTTCTCCTGTATTGTGGAGGCAGTTTACAAACATAAATTGCACAAAGACAAACATCCAGACCCGGAACAATTATTTGTAGGCCATACAAATACTTGTTCCGTGTGGGATTCGAACCCGCGGCCCCCAGTGCAACAACTCATTGCTAAGCCACTGCGCCACGGAGCCGTCATTCGTTATTAATATTCAAGTCTTTGACGATACTTATAAGTAATCTAACATTATTTTTAATCAAGCAGTTGGAGTTTTTGTGAGCAGTGGGGAGGGTAAGATAACATTTTTGACGCGGTAGAGCCATGCTCATCCTAGGAGGTGAAAGCAAGATAATCGCAAGGAAACCACGTCATGTTATGTTGTATAGCCATGTGAAGTCCAGCAACATGCACTGGAGAAGCACGGTGCGGCTTTCGAACTGCCCCATATCTACTACATCATATCCCCAGTATACTACCCTTTCAGAAATGACAGTAGGTCTGTTCCCAGCAATGCGACGTATATATATGCTGTTACTTAACTTTTTAACCTCCCGACGAAATCACAGAGGTGTTATATGTTTGTAGTGTGTATCTGTTTCTGTGTATATCTGTGTGTCTGTCTGTGGTATCATAGCTGCTGAACGGATGAACCAATTTTAATAAAGTTTTATTTGTTTGAATGGCGCCTTAATCGTGAATGTTCTTAACTATGATTCAAGAAAATGTGATTTGAAAATCTGATTCTGAAAATCTGTTTCGGGGGTTATGCAATTTTTTGATTATTAGTTATTCATATTTGAAATGGTTGTTCTCTCAAATGTTAGTAGCAAAGATAGTGCTGATAACTCTCTTAGCTATCTTTTACAGAAATCACAACATGCTATGTCGAATTACTTTTATACGTGGGAGAGTACGAAAGACAGTACGAAGTAGAGTTGTAGCACGGATGGATTGGCTCGGCCGGGGAAAACTCACCCTCTCACTGAATACTGTCTTATAGCAGCTGCTCTGTTACTACATTTTGATTCTTAATCGGAGATAGATGTAGATATCTATGGGCCACAACATCCACTTACCATCAGGTGGATTGTGTGCTCGTTTGTCACCCTTATTCTATAAAATAAATTAAAAATAAAGCGTCGTCAATGTTGATAAAAGATTCATGGCCGAATGATTTTACTAATTATAATATATGTGCATTGGTAATTATAAATTCAGATATGGTATTAAGAAGCTGATCAGGAAAATTTTAAAACAATGGACCTTGACAGATGACAATATATATATAAGCGGAAGTCATTCAACTTGTCTGCCGGTTTACTTGGAAGCTGTTTTTGTGGCATTCTACTGATGATTGCAAGTAAAAACATACAGTTGACATTTCATTCAAAGCCACTTTGCCTACACTTACTTTTAAATTAAAAATAACGTTATGTAGGTATAGAGTTCTAGATAATTTTATAATTAGTTGAGCTGTGCAGCAATACACGTTTCTGTATTCAATTAAAAGCGAGGTATGCAATTGAGTTGAGGCTCTGATGTCGTGAATAGATTCTAACATTTTCCATGTTAGAATCTATTAAAATAATCTTCGTTTTCTATTTAGTTTTAGAATTTAGGTGTGCTAGTAGCAATTATATCCACAAGTATATCCATCCAGAGTTATGCGTTCGTAAAATTGTAGATATATATTACCGACTACGATAATCGCTTTTTTTAATTTTTACTTCTAATTTTAAGGTTCAAAATTGAAAGTTAAGTCACTCAATTCCGCACATAAGTTACATGTCGCAAGATGAGAATAAGATATTAATTGTAAAATTGAAGTGATCTGGTATAACTTACCTAATGCCATAAATATGTAGTTAATAGGGATGATATAAAAGGCTATGGCTGCAGCTATTAATGCCATTATAGCTAAATAGCTTAAATACGGCACACTGAAATTCACCAGGCTGAAACAAATAATTCAAATATGT